AACAAAGAAAAGGTATAGGCAGCTTGTAAAGTAATCCATCATTGAAACATTGTTAAGTGGACATACCTGAAATAATTCTATATTTTAATTGTGTTATACAATAATGTAACTGTGTATCAATAACAAAAAATTTCTTAACATTAATACTTTACCTTTTAAATAGCTTTGTTTAAGAGGCTATGACTACTAAACAGTATTTAGTTCGTGAACTCTTCGAGTGCTGCAGCTAAGCATATATTCCTTCCAGAATTAGGTATTCGTCTTTTTTGTTTGTTTTTACATATTTAAAATTACTGTATTTGCCAGCATGTAAGATATACTTTTTTCTGAGGGGAGTTTTATACGCCTAACATACATAAATTTTTTTCCTTCAAAAAATGATTTTGGAAAATTGGGTGTGTCTTACATGCCAAAAAATACAGTACATTACTTACATAAAATATGGATAAATATAAATAATTTAGCACAAAATAACAACACAAATACACTACATAATATATCTTTATAAACTTTTAACTTCATAAAATATTTTATTTAGTTTTACAAATTTTATAAACTTNACTTCAAAAACTATACTTAAATCTGTAGTTTAAACAATACACTTATTATTCTTTTAAAATATATTATATATTGAGCATTTTATAAACATTTCAATAAGCTTAAAGCCAATCAGTTCAAATGTTTTTGGCTTCACTGAGGGGGCTTTTCTTGAAAACAACAGAGTTCTAAAATGGAATGGCAATGTAACATGGAACATGAACTTTAATGATTGATCTGAAATACTATATTAGTGTTTAGTCAACATTCTTCACATAAAAATACAGTACACATATGATGAAATATGATATATAAACATAATATCTAAAATGGGCATGCACCACTTAATGATGGGGTTACAATCTGAGAAGTACATCATTTGGCAATCATCGGAGCAAATGTAGAAAAATCTATATGGTATAGTCTACCATTCACATAAACTTTCTGTAACAGAATGTATCTAAACAAAGAAAAGGTATAGGCAGCTTGTAAAGTAATCCATCATTGAAACATTGTTAAGTGGACATACCTGAAATAATTCTATATTTTAATTGTGTTATACAATAATGTAACTGTGTATCAATAACAAAAAATTTCTTAACATTAATACTTTACCTTTTAAATAGCTTTGTTTAAGAGGCTATGACTACTAAACAGTATTTAGTTCGTGAACTCTTCGAGTGCTGCAGCTAAGCATATATTCCTTCCAGAATTAGGTATTCGTCTTTTTTGTTTGTTTTTACATATTTAAAATTACTGTATTTGCCAGCATGTAAGATATACTTTTTTCTGAGGGGAGTTTTATACGCCTAACATACATAAATTTTTTTCCTTCAAAAAATGATTTTGGAAAATTGGGTGTGTCTTACATGCCAAAAAATACAGTACATTACTTACATAAAATATGGATAAATATAAATAATTTAGCACAAAATAACAACACAAATACACTACATAATATATCTTTATAAACTTTTAACTTCATAAAATATTTTATTTAGTTTTACAAATTTTATAAACTTATAGAAAGATGATATATCTATTTTTAAAATATCCTTTTTATTCTTTAGAGTAATTTTTAAAAAAATTATCATCTCATATGTTTATATAGTCTTCATCTTATAAAATTCTAATTTATAATACAAAATATTTTATAAATATTTAAATATTTGAGCATAAAAGATAATAACAATAACATAATTTTATAAGCTTTCCTTCTAAAAGATCATAATATAATATATATGAAAATTATCTTCCATCATTATTTAATATTTATGTAATTTGAGATTCAAAGTTTATAATATTTGTAAAAAACAAAAATTTTAAGTATATAATATAGTGTTTTTAAAATTTATATCATTAAATTAAAAAAAAATTAAACATTAGTATCAGTGATTTTTATCTGCTTTGGGCACAAACCGAATACCAAATCATCCATAACAAGTCAAAGATCATAATGTGTAATGTTTCATATTATTCTTGACCTTGTTTTTTGTTTAGGATTTTGTATTGTTATTGGAGGGAGAAAATCTTTTGTCTACAAAACAATTCCTAGTATAATTAAAAAATAATTGTGTCTGGTTTCATATTTCTGTGTTTATAGAATTTGATTTTATATCTTTCCATTCTTTTGAAAACAATGAGCAAAGCATAATCTGCTTTGCTCATTGTTTTCTTAATATACCTTGTTCTACAGAATCTTAATTTAAGAAATCCCATTCGTCAATTTCTTTATCAATGCAGATTCTAAACAAACTACCTGCATTTAATTTTGTATACTTGAATTATTTCTCTTTATCACATTTAGAAATATTAAAATTTATTTTTAACCAATACAGGGTGTCCAAAAGTTACCATGCAGTGAGAAATTTGCAATGACAATAAAGTTATATGTATGGTATTGCATATGAGACCTATAAGTTGTCCATTTGATGCCAGTTGATTGTATAGTACTGCATACAACTTAGACATTAAAGTTACAGTACCATACATGTAACTTTAAAATCTCTCACTGCACAGTAACTTTTCAGATATCCCATATAACAAACTCTCTCCAAAATCTAATTCATATTCTTATTTCAATAAATATATACAGTAGACCCCCCTATAACGCTTAGATACGTTCCACGCTAACCGAAAATTACGTTGTAAGAATGATTAAATACATGAGCCAATCGCAGCCCGATAGGTGGGAACTTTACGGACTAAGGCTGTTTGAAAGGTTTTCTTCTATAAAATTAACCGATTCTAGACTAATTCCACTCAACATTTCCAAAACACGTATAATTTTTTGGGAATAATCCGTATAAACTACGCTATAAACAAAAAATTATAGGATTACTTACCGAGTGTGTACCGTTCGACTACGCCGTTGCTTAAAGCTGGTTTTCATCGCGGAACAGCACATTAAACGGCGGCCGCGATTTCTAATAACGAATTTTTCGCATAAAAATAACTTGACCTTTGGAGACATCATTAATATAAATAATTTTTATGGCCGTTGAATAAGAAGTGTTTCTTTCACAAGAAATGTATAAAATTAGTGCTGTATTAGACTTACGGTACCTAATTTACATACTGTACAGACGATAATAAACTCAACTTACTAGCCTAAAATCTCCGTAGCGTGTTGCCAGGCGGCAGAAAGCATATATATAATTATAATAAAGTTACAATAAATTAAGTTAATATATAATTATATATACAGTACCTAATTTATATATAATTAATATATAATTATATGTACAGTACCTAATTTATATATAATTTATATATAATACTAAACAGACGATAGCAAACTCAATTTAGCCGCACCGTAGCGTGGCGCAGGGTCGGAGGAAAGTAGTTCGGCTGCTCATCCACTATTGGTCCAGACTCTATCAATCTTGTCGCGAAACGACGTTATAGGAGGTACTTTATACGAAAGTTTCTACAATTTTTTCGCTACGTTATAGGAATTGTCGTTATAGGAACGTACGTTATAGGGGGGTCGACTGTACTAGGTATTAGTTTTTCAGTTTAAGTTATTGTGCCATTGTAATTCTGTTACTTACAATTGTCACTGTTATATTCATGCCACATCTTAATTATTGATTCTTCTAATTATTGAAAAAAGCAGTAAATTTTCTTTTATACAAGTCTAAAGATTGAAACAATTTAAAAATTTACTCTCATTTTAAGCATTTCAATATAACTCCGCTACATCGAATATGTTTGATGACAGAAATCTTGTCATTGCAATCTAACATTTCGTATGCATCCTTAATAGCAGCAACATAAGTTTTTTAATGTTATACGGGGTCTTTGAAATGAATGCCAACAATTTAAATTACTGTAATTATATTAATTTTTACCCAAGAAGCTGTGACGTACACCAATTGATAGTGTAAGCATCAAAGTTTCATATACCAAACATCTATTTGATGCCTTTAGTAAGTACTGTAAACAAAAATGGTAACTTAGCAACAGAGGTGTTTTTGTGTTCTAAAGTTTGCTAATTCAGAATCAGTCATAATGTTAAAAGAAGACAGATTAAAAAATTATATAATAAAGTGGAGAATATTAACAGAATTTAGCTATTATAGTATGAAAATCCTTTGTTTCTGGATTATGCCACACTCATAATATCACATGCTAATCATTAAAATTTGAATATTTAAAAAGTTTTTTTATTCATGTATATTTTCAAAACATAAATTAAAGTTAGGCACCTCTATTTTATATCACAACAAACTATGAGTCTGATTAATGATACTTATGAACATCAAACATTTTCAATTTTTGTAGCACATTAAATACTGATATATATTCCAACTCTTTGATGATATACACAAATATAATAGAGCAAGAAAGATAAATAAACTAATAAAAAAAATCTTATTTACCTTGCAATAATGAGAAATTCCAAATATCCATATAATTACAATCCATTTGAATTTGCATCATCTTCATCTTCAGATGCAAATTTGAACGGAATGTCTTTTAAAAAACTGCCACAGCTACTGTAACAAGTTACAACAGCTTTTGACAAGTAACACACTGCTCTCAATTTAATTATTATATTGTTATTTGCAACAAGAATTTCCTTGTGTTCAGGCTTATTAAACATTTAAAAATACAGTTTCAAGATTTTCATTATCCATGTTTGATTTGTACCATAGTTTTAATGACAAATAGGACCTGTTCTAATAAAACAGAATATGGAAATGAGGTCGAGATATAAAATTAAAGAAAAATTTTGGCAAACCGAATATAGAGTGAACGAATTTATAATCTATAAAGCATTTGAAGTAGATTTAATTAAAAAAATTTATGATAATTTTATATAAAAACATCATTTTTAAATGTTTCTCATTAACAAAGGAATTTAGGAAAGAAAAAAATAAATAAGAATTATACTGTAAAATATACAAACAGTTCACAAAATATTTTAAATTCTAAAATTATGAATAAAAACAATTTCAAATATTTTCATTTTTTAATAGTTTTTGATGCAGTACATAAATTGTTACAGTATCCCTGCTGATTTTCAAGCATTTTTGTTTTATATTACAGAGCAAATGCACTGTGGTGAAAATATTCACGATAAGAATATCTCATTATGTCTTCTAAAAATAACAAATTTTTGTTGTCGTTTTTTTAAAAAATGAAAGATGAAAACCAAACAGTAACAGTGAACATATTAAAAGAATTTGTTAAAATTCTTGACTTCCCAAAATTAAATGATTTTCTCCAAAAAAAAAATAAATCTATACAGACATGTATATATATATATGTCTTACGACCACTACGATAATGAAAAAATTTATATATAAGATCAAAACGATGCTAAAAATTATAATACAGAAAATAATTTTTTACATAATTTGTAAAAAGTATTTTGAGATATATCTTTTAAGAATTGTCCTTTTCATTTTGTAATTATTTTTTAATGGTTTCATTTTTTCTTTTTGTTTTTATATATATTTGTATATACCATATGCATTCTTTTGTACTTTCACTACTACTCTCATTTGTTAAAGTCTCTCTGTTGAAATCTTGATACTATTCTCGTATCCTGTCTTACATTTGTGGGTTTGAACTGTTGAAAATTCTGCGGGATATTACCCCCTATGGCAGAATTCTGGCTGAATCCTCTTGATTGCTGGAAATTCGTATTTGTGGTGTTATTCCAATGAGCATCTTTATGGATGGACTTGTTCATATTTCTCTCTGTAAATGTTTACAATATGTAATTAATTCTTAAATTCATTTAATAAACATTAACTAATTAAATATATTTCGTACCATTATATGAAAAGTTCTTCTCTTGAGATTTTTGACCTTGATTTTCACTATTTGTTTTTCTTTTGCTGCCAAAAAATTGCTTGTGCCTAAATTTGTCTGTTCTTTTAAGAGGGCAATCTTTCATTTTATGGCCAATTTTGTTACATATTCGGCATCCTCTTTCATTTGGAGGATTTTTACCGTCCGTGAACAGTTTTCCATTGAAAAAATAATCCTATTGGATAAAAATGTCGCAGAGTAATTATTTTAATTGACTAATTAATTAAATACAGTAGAGCGTCATTTATCCAAATCAATTGGGGACTGGGGTTGTTCGGATAACTTATTTTTCGGATAACCGATTATGTACGAAAAAATATATTAACCTATCCTGTGTTGAGATTTTTCTCCGTTGCATGTCGCTTCACGTTGAATTTTCGTCGATGTTAAACCTAACGTAAACTTTTTAAAATAATAATCGTGGCTATTGTATCGTTAAAAATGATTTCTTTATGTTTTACAAATGAAATAAATACATTGAAAAATATAAAAACAAATAAAAATTATACTTTAGACCAACTGGAATACTTTCGGATAACCGACGTTTCAGATAAACGACGCTCTACTGTACTAATAAAAATTAATTAATTAGTTGAATATTTTTATACAAAAATTAAGTTTTTAAATATGTAACTTTTGCTTCTTTTGTTTAACATGTTCTAAAATATAATACATTTGTTCAAAAAGAATATAAAGATTTTTTAAATATTTAAGTGTTGGACTCTTAAGTATTCTTATGACATATTAATTATATTAAACCTGATTAAAAAACAGCACTTTCTGAATTTAAAAAAAATATTTCAGTGTGTTTAAATAATACAGAGTGTTTTTAAACATCCATAGTTGTAGATTAGTTTTGGGAAAAGAGATGTGAATGTAGTACTGTAGACAATGGTAATAGAAATTGCATCTAAGTTACAACATTACATCAGTATATTTCCACATACTCCTAACTTGGCAAATACGATACCCTGTCAGCACATTACGGGTCATGTTATTAATGTCATCGTGATTCTTATACATGGAGCTCCCATGTCTAGCACTTTTGTATCATACACAGGATCCTTGACATGCCCACAAAGAAAAATGTTCAAATTTGAGTTATTGGGCAAACCAAGAAATCAGGCCCCAGCAATCTACACCTTGTGGCAATAGAGTCCAGATTGCCATTGTGCAGCAGCCCTATCAAGAGTACACACATGAAACTTGAAGTATTGACCAATATTCTCTAACTCATTTTATTCATGCCCAAACAAATAGATTTTACAGAACACTTTAAAACTATAGACATTCGAAAGAAACACCCTGTAATTTTAGTATCAGTGGTATTATTTGTATCCATACTTTGTAAATATAGTTATTGGATATCAGTGGTTTTAAACAATAATATTATAGACTTACAAGAATATTCGGTAAATCCCTCCTATTGGGCGGAGTCCTACCAAAATGTTCGCGACCTCTTCTGAAAGCAGCAAATATGAATGCATTCACTAAAATAAAAAAATAAAAATAAAAATAAATAAACGAACATTTGTTAAAATTTATGATTTCATTGTGTAAAAAGCTATCAATTTTGCAACTCACTCTTTCTTGAAACACCTGCTCCTAGATTATGATTGTGATCAAAAGGATCTAAAATAATAGAGATAATATAAATATTTTAGATTAATAGCAAGTTGATAATTTTATTAAATATAATTTTATGGAAAAAACAAGATACCAGAAAGTATACTTAGCAATTAAGACAAAAATATTGGTGATAATTTCTTAATTTTAATTGACGATTTGTATAACAATACTAACAAAACTAGTATCTCAACACAATGTTCAATCCCTTTCATTACTGAGAGAACAAGACCACAAAAACTGATACTGATTGTGGGATTGCATCTGACCAATGAGCCAGTCAAATGGAGTTTACTGGTTTTTCTCATGTTTAATGGTTTGTCCAGGTTCAAGAAATTCCACCAGAATCACTCTATCAGCATCACAGAGAATGAAGCCCATAACTGATGGCAGTGTCTTTGACATTTTTTTTTGTTGGAGAATTGAGGTGGAGCCATTCTGTACCCTGCTGTCTTGTTTTGGATACATAATGGTGAAACCAACTTTCATCACCTATCACAATACTCAGCAAAAAATCATCTCCTTCATTTCTATATCTCTTAATGGAGATTGTGATTTATAAAAAGTTGTTTCTCACAACTTTCAGCTTGACCTACATAGTATTCAAATTTATTTTTATTGCCATTAAATTCAAGTTCTCAAATACTTCCTAATATTCAAATATTTGCAGATAGTATTCTCTTGCCTCTAATTTTGGAACATGTTAATTCTGATAACAGTATCCATGATTATAGTAAGTGAATTCTACTACATTTAATCAACAAATTACAAATTTAACTATCAAGTATCAATTAATAAATTTTACTAATAATTTAATCAAAAACTCTAGTATTATTTATCAAATTGCACCAGCTGTCTCATATTTATCCCAAAATAATTATAAACAATATGGATAATTGTACTCATAACTTTATCAAATATATTTTTGTGCAAATGTATGTTAATTAATATTTTAAAGAGTCAAATAATACTAATTCCTTAGTAAATTAGCAATATAAAAAATTCTATAAAGACCTTACCCTCAATTGCTATACTCTTCGTATTCCAAAGTTTCTCAAATCGAGTTAATGGAGCCTTCTGACGGATACATATGACCAATTCGTTCACTCTAAATTTTTCAGTGTAAAATCTCAAAAGACCCAACCATAATTCACCAAGAGTCTCTGTGTTTTTCTTACTTTGGGGCCATACATCTTCCTAAAATTAATTGTGTACAATTAACTTTGATATATAATAATGGTATTAATTAATTAAATTATTATTTTATAAAGAAACTTACTAAATTATGAATATCTTCGAAAAACCACGTATTACATCCATCTACATTTCTAACTGGCTTTGGCTTGGAGGTATCATACAGCTAAAAGAAAAAATGAATATTATCCAATTTATATGAATTAATTTAATAATATTTTAAGGTTTAAATTGAAAAAAGAACATAGCTTTCTCTTGTTATTAATAAACTTAATTTCTAGGACAAAGAATTTGCTTATAAGTTTAATGGGAATTCACAAAATTAATGTATGCTTTTGTCATCTCAAATTAAACCTGAAGTAAGATTTAAATTGTAAATTCAGTTGAACTCAATATTCACTGTCCATCAATTCTAGATTTAACTGTATTTATTGGCAAATTTAATTATTGTTTATTAATTATTATTAATATTTAATAATAATATTAATTTATTATTATTATTATTAATTATTGATTTAAAACATTAGTACAAATAGGGATTGCCATATTCTTCAAAAAAGTCTCATGTGATCTGAGATTTAACTGTTTTAGTCATGTCTTTGACTTATATTTTGTGTTAAAGCTGGTTTACAGTCCAATGGCAGTGTGAAATTTCAAGGTTGCTAGCTGTTGATGAAGTTGATGAGATCATCATCTGGTTAATAATCAAATTGTAACTCAGCACAGCATGGTGTTGGCATTAAATGCATGTCACTAAACTAGAAGTGTAAACCTATAGTTTAACATTTAAAAAAGTGGAGGACAGCAAATGCAGAGGAAATTCTGTGAATTCTGCTGTTGTTAGACTGTAAACCAATTCTCATATTCACTATTCACAGAATTTAATGCTAACTCAGCTGATTCTTTTCTTAAGTCAGAGAATTTTGTAAGAAATGAAATTATTTACAAAGAGATCACAATACAAGAATTTTGTTCAATTGAGGGCATAAAAAATTTTACAAGTTTTGATAAGAAGATACAGTAGAGCATTGATTATCCAAATGCCTATCAACTGAAACATCGGTTAGCCAAAAGTGTTCCATTTGGCAAATTCAAACTTCTGCTAGTACTGTGGCACTGCAATATTTGGTTATGTCTTGGGCTACTCCATTATTATTTTTGTTGGTATGCATGTTTTAGCTGGCAGCACAGGCTTTACCATATTGTATCATTAAAAATTATTTTTTTATTCTGCACAAACAAAATAAACATATTGAAAAATATAAAAACAAAAAAATTATATTTCGGAAGTTAATCTAGTATCAAAAACATTCTGATTCACACACATCCAGAGGGTACTTAAGGATGCACCAGTACTTGAACGAGGCTTTTTTCCCCCATCGTGAGCTATATTCTAGGACCTTGCATTGTGAGTGGTGTGTTTTGCTTCAGCTCGTCGAAGAATATAGTCCAAGTGGCTGACATCTCCAGATAAACCCAAGAAAAAGAAAGAGTTTTGCTTTGTTTTGTGTGGTGTTTTCTTGAGAAATGTGTCGTGCTGAACCAGAATGTTTTTGATACTAGATTGATTAATTTCTGAAATATTCTTTTTTTGTTTTTATATTTTTCAATATATTTATTTTGTTTGTGCAAAATAAAGAAATAATTTTTAACAATACAATAGCCGTGATTATTATTTAAAAAAATTTTTGTTAGGCTTAACATCGACAAAAATCCATCGCAAAGCAACACGCAACAGAGAAAAATTTCAACAGGGGATAGGTTAATATATTTTTTCATACATGACCAGTTATCTGAACAACCCCAGTCCTGAACTGCTTTGGATAATTAATGCTCTACTGTACTATTAGAATTTAGAGAGAACAAGATGGATATTCTAATAAACAGTAATTCTTGAATAACAAGAATAAAGTTTAATTTTTGAATAATGCAAACCAGTTAGTAAAGATTAAAATTAATAAAATTATTAACATACTTCTTGCAAAACAGGAATAACTGGAGGATCTCTTTGTTGTAAAAAATACAAAACCATTAATATGTATGCATATGAAGACAAACTTCCACGAGATGCATCACATATATCACAGATCTGAAATATAAATATTTAATCTATTTTAATATCAATTAAATAAATAAAATATAACTCAAGAAAAAATTGATTCTTACCTTAGCAAAAAATTTTAGTACGTAACCTAGTTTCTGAACTCGGGGATCAATTTTACTATAAGTTAACAAGAGGCGAGTGTTATGCTGACCCTATAAGGTAACAACAAGAAAGATGTAAAAATAGGAAGAACAATGCAAAAATTTATTGCATTAAAAAATATTTACAAACCAACGTGTTATAGACACTTATATCGCCTTCTTTATTTGTATGTTTGAAAGAGAATTTAATTATGGGAACTTTAGCAGTTGGTATTGGAAGAATGTCTTGTATTTTCTTATACTTTTTCAATTCGGCAGTCAGACTTTCTATAATGTGTTGTTGATTTAATGCCTATAAAAATGTGATATAAAATTTTTATAAATGACAAAATCTTTGTTAATAATTTTTATCATGGCGTAACAATTGAAAATTCACATTATCAATAGTCATTTATATGAAAAAATTATGTATATATTTATTAAAACTTATACTTTATAAAATGTAAATGTTTCAGTTTTTATAGTAAAAGAATTTTATTTTTATAATTAATTTGATGATTGTTTAAAAGTCTAAAATAGATAATTACTAACATACAGGTCTCAATTAATTGAGACTGTACAGTAGAGCTCTAATTAACTGAGACATGTTTAACTGAGTGCATCATTCTAGACAAATACTTTGTTAATAAAGTTCATTGCATGATGCAAGGTACTTGAAAGAAGCTTTAGAAGTTTCAAAAAGAATTTATTAAGGTAATGTCTCGCAATACAAAATTTTAATTGTAATTATCATAAAGTTTTGATTTTTATAACTATATTCTTGTATTTTTTCAGTCACTTTCCCAATTTTTGATTATCCATAGTAACCTAAGTCCACATTACATTAAATAATCAGGACACTACTGTTTTTCAATCTAAGTGTTGACTGATTGATTAGTCCAAGACACTAAAACATTGTAAGTCATATGCTGCTCATAATTATGCCCATTGTGGGTTAATGGAGTTAACAGGCATATATAAAGGGTGTGAAACAAAGTTCCAATCTGTATTATCATGATAGATCATTGACCAGATTCAAACTTTAATCCCCAACAGTGATAGGCTAACACCTTACCACATAACAATGTGAATAACAATTTAAGAGTTGCAGAATTTCATCTGATGGCAATCTTATGTAAATTAATTAGAAGACACAGTCTGTCCAGAAATTTAAGAGTTACTTTAATAAAAATCTAAGTGATAAGAATATTTTAAAATTATTACAATTAAATAATTACCTCTCCAGAATTGTTTTCAAAAGTTAAACAGATGTCAAGATCACTGTCTATAAATCCAAAACCATTACACGAGGAACCAAAAAGTTCTAGCTTTGCATCTATAATAATAATTTCATCTTTAAATATTACATTAAAAATTTAAATATTACAATTACAAACCAAGTGATTGCCATAATTAATTGGGCCATAAATCTGCTATTATTAATGTTTAGATACTAAGTAATTTGGTACTAGAAGTAGACATTAGGTGCATCTTAAGAGATGGCACCTGATGGCCAGGAGCCATATCTGTATGTTTCGTTTGATTCTTAATAAAACAGGCTGGGCGCCCATGAAACTTTCCCTTTTCATCCCCTTTCCTATCTTGCTTTACTCTTTCCCCTTCGCCTCTTCCATTAACTACTTTTCCTCTACTCTTCTTCACACTCAGGCAATACCAATGAGTAGTCCCGAATCTTCATCCCCTTTATGAAAATGAAAATGAAAATGTCTACCTCTAGTACCAAATTATTAAATAATTCTAAACGGTTCTAAATTATTAAATAATTTAGAACCATCTTGAAGTTGTTTAGTATATATATACAATTACTAATTAAAAAATTTAAATATTTTCATGTTAAATATTATAGTTTTATAATAACTGAATAAAAATAGGGACCTATATTATTATTATTATAACCTATATATAAATATCAAAATTATTAAAATTAAAAAGCAAATAAAATACCTAAAAATCTACATTGGATGTGTTTTTGCAGACTATATAACAGAGTTTTATTTTCTTCCTGAACTTTCGGAGACAATTTCCATAAATCTAAAATAGAATAATTCAATTAACTACAGCAAAAAAATAAAAAAAAAACATTAATATATATTTCTGTATGTAATATTATATACATATATATATAGTGATCAAATGAAGGTATAACTTCTGAGTAGCAGGGGTGTAGAATATGTTCAATCACATAAACAAGGTTTGTAGGAAATTATAGTAGTCTCAGAGAAACTTACAGTATAAAAAATATTACAGCAATAGCTGCAAAAATTTACGATAAAATGGAGTAATCTCTCAGCTAAGTATATATGACATTTATTGGGAAAATTCACAAAATGCAGGAACCTGTCTGTGTTTTAAAGTGAAATCAAAACATTGTTTACTTTGTTTCTAATGAATTCAGTCACTTCTTATGTGATGACCTACTCATACAGTTAAGTACTTGCAGTAAGAACAAGTCAGTCTCAGTTATCAAACCATGGTTTTGAGTTTTACAAAAATCAAAACCGAAACGGAGATTTAAAAAAACCAAAGAAGAAAATCTGTTTTTATTTCTCAAAACTCTTTTTGACACTATTTAATGGGCAAAATTTCACATCAGCATGAATTAAAATGAAATGTTTACTTCTCAGCAAGGAAAATTTGCAAACAAATAAACTGTATTTTTAAATGTTTCCTGAACTGTGTCAATTAAATAGCTATATAGAAGTTCCACTGTCATTATATGCATATTATTTTTCTTTATTTTTCATATATTTATTATAAAAAAAATATTAATGTCAAAATATATTTTAAAACAACATAATACAGTTATGTTTTCAAAAATAAAATAAAAATAATTAAAAAGTCAGTTGAAAATTCTAAAAAAAGTATCTTTCTGAAAAAAAAACCCTCAGTGCATTTTTAAAATAATTTTTCAGAAAAAAATTGTACATTGTCATTGTTGTTGTAAATAAATTTGCATGTTTGGACATCAAAAAAGTACATTGATTAATAGAGATAAAATTGAAGTCATTGCTGACACCACAAATGATCTACTTTTAGCAAAGGGGATTAATTAGCACATTACATCAAGTTTATAATCATACAAGGCAGATTTAATAAATAAGGGTGTAAGGAATCAAGTCTGAGCATTAATTTTAGTTATTTTTATTTTGCTTTTTATTCTATTTTTGTTTGGGGCTTATGTTTTGTTAGGATGAAGGTTTCCTCACCATTCACCTTAGAAACTTAAAAATAGAACAAAGAAAACCAACTCACCAAGAAAAAAAAAAAGCCGTAGAAAAAACTCGCGCACACTTGCGCTCCCGAGCAGAAAAAAGTAAGTCTGCACCAAGAAAGAGGGGGGAGACCCCACAAGCACAACTTAGGAACTTGCTAAACCTTAAAGAATAAAACATCCTGAAAAATTGTATAAAAGAATAATGTAAAAGGTTAGTGAGTATTGTCGGGAAATAGGCTGCCAGGCAGAAAGGAAAAGTATAATGTTAACGATAAGTATGTAAATGAGGGGAGTGATCTCAATCAGAATTGTGACGTCACCTCATAGTATAAAGTCCGAACCTCAAGTGAAGATGACCGCTGTTATCAACAAGCGTGGTGAGCTTCATAGCAGCAAATGACAAGAGGTATCCGATAGTGATAACTTCAAAATCGAGTGAACCTTGGAAGTGGTTCCAAGGTTCACTCGATTTTGAAGTTATTTGATTTGTGGATCGAAGATTGGAGAAAGTCTTGAGAGATGAGGAAAATATTGAGGTGATGATTAGGACCTTAGTTCATAAGAATTGTTGTACATAAGTTAAGTCTGAATTTTTTGTCGAGTTCCAAAGGGGAATAGATTTAAGTTAGCAAATAGATTGATTTAAGTTTTGTCGAGTTGATTCTTATTGATTTTCTTTGAATAAATTTGTTGTTTGATTGTTACTAATTTTTGTACATAGTTCTTATTAGAATTATTAAATATTTGATTTGACTAACTTTGTCATTATTTCTTCGATGCACGCTTAGCTAATTAGCGAGATTTAGTGAGATCCATCAGCAGGATGTATGCACAGTACAATAAGAAGTATCGTGCAAATATACACAATTACTAAAGCTTGCAAGTAGATTTTCGAATCCACTTACAAGCTTTTTGCAGTGACAAGAAAGGCTGAACAAACAGATGATGAGCTGCATAGACTTTTGAACCCAAGTCTTCATTAGCAACATTTATGACTCTCCATATTGTGCATACATATGTCATGTGATGGACCTAACTAGCTGTAATGTGTTTGGCTGTCAAAAATTGAATAAGATTGCTACTTAATCCTGGTGCTGTTTGATATGAGCAACACCATTTAGTAAACAGCATGGTAGACACAAATGCTACCTGACAGGAATGACTATTGTTACTGTATACTCTTTCAATATTATTAGTCTCAACCTTGTTTGCAACATTAAAAAAATAAACAAACTTTCATAAAAAGGCATTAAATACATTTAAAATAACGTTTCAACGTATTCTAAGACGTCATCCTCAGGCAGATATAAATTTGAATAAATCTTTTGAAGAAGCTTTTTAAATTAATTAATTAATTAAAAGCAATGGCAATAACTGTTTAGAACAAATTACACTTAAATAAGCAAGCATACAGAATTTAAAGTGTGCATGGTGACTATGGCATGTGCCATGATGTGTAGATTAGGTTTAGATGCTGAAAACAGAGCTAAAAGTGATGTTTCAGTCTTTTATATAAGCTGACCCACATTGCAGGCAATCCAAGTATGGGAGAGTTGCATAGATTTAGTAATATGGTGAGGAGGACCTCCCAAACATACACCAGGCTTCTCTGATCACAATATCTGAGCATCAACACTGGCCCCACAGTGGGGTATGTTGATGTTGTAACACCATTTTCGATAGCTCAGTGTCACACCTAACTACCATGATAGAATAGAATGTAGAAACGCGGCAAGATAACATTCTAGTTGTCACTCATACATAGTAGGTGCGTATACCAGATATTGTATTTTTTAATGGGATAGAGCCATGGTTCCCAATTAGTGGTACGTGTACCCCTGGGGATACGTGAAATTGCATGAAAGGGTATCTAAAATTGGTCGATTCAAAATTTAAATGCATGAGATGAAGCAATAAAAAAATAATGAGTGGGTCATCAAAAATTCGGCAATTTACAACATGATGTCAAATGCACAAATTCATTTATTTTTAACTAAAAATAGTCTCAAAATTTCATTAAAAAAATGCATTTGTGACAATACCTAAATGAAATTCTTACGCAAGAGACAAAAATTGTACAATTAACACAATTTGTGTTAATTGTACAATTATCATTATCATCATGTCAGTGAAGTGGCAATAAAATATTTACTACCATTTTGCACAACATACTTCTGTGAGAGTGGATTTTCGGCCATGACAAACATGAAAACTAAACATTGTCACCGACTTCAACTCAAAGATGACTTGAGACTGAAGCTGACCAAAAAGCAACCAGATTTTACAAAGTTGTGCAAAGAAAATCGTGCACATTTGTCACATTAAAATTAAATAACCTTATGTTATTTTCATTATTATTAGAATTGTATTTTAAAGGTAATAAATGTAAAAAATCTTATTCTATTTATCACTAGCTGTCTACCCATAGCTTCACCCACATTATATCGAATTTTCTCATGGGAGTAAGATATTTTCTCGCAGTAAAATGTAGCCTATGTCCATCTCCAACATGTAAGCTATCTCTGTGCCAAATTTTATTAAAATCTGTTCAGCAGTTTAGACATGAAAAAATGACAGACAGACTTCAAATTTATAATAATAGTATAAATTAATATGAATTTCTGCTATAAGGGGTACGTGAGTTTGAGCTCTTACTTGAAGTGGTACGCAGGAAAAACTAATTGGAACCACTGGGATAGAGTATAGGCCAGACTTCTCTAGGATGGAAATAGTGTCTGTCATTGCATATAAATCTCCTAAGACTTAGACACGGGGTAACCAGTAAAAGTAATGTGTGTTGTATGAAAACACAGCAAATCTGGGCAGTGATGCAGCCACAAAATAATAGTGATAAATAGACTATTGTGTAGTCTTTTGGTTTGTGTAAGGTGGTGGCGGCAGGAAAAAGAGATCTTTTAACCTTGCTCAAGACATGTTTATATTTGGAATTGCTATATATTGCCACAGTCACTGCTGAGCAAATGGCAGCTAGCTCAATGTTGGTAGCAGTTTGCATGGATGGCAATACAAAGGCCCTTCTAATTAAAGAAGCTATAGCCACATTTATGTACTGCTGTGGTAGGTAAGCCGTGGCTGGGATTAAAGGGAGCACGTTATCAAATTTATGGAACATAGAGAATATTAAACCTCCCTGGGACTTGGAGATGCTTAAGTCTAAAAATGCAATTTCTCCCATTTTCTTTTTCCCAGGTGAAGTCAACAGAAGAACAAACATTCACAAGGAACTGTTTCAGGACAAAGAAGTCTTCTTCCGTGTCTTGCCATGCATGCCAAGAGAATATCGTCTACATACCACAGATATATTAGTGGATATGCTAACGTGAAGGGAAATTTAAAACTCTTTTGCTGAACATGCCTCATGGCTAATTCTGCTAGTACAGCAGACAATGGTGAGTCCATTGGGACCCTTGTTTTTTAGATATACTTTTCCAGTGAAACAAAAGTAGTTATGTTCAGTAACAAAGAGTAAAGCTTCCTGTATCTCTAAAACTTGTTATGCAGAAAAGCACTCCTTGATAAGTAGAGTGTTGGCAAGCATAACAGCCTCAAATTGAGGTATAGAAGGATAGAGAGCAACAACATCCATTTTATAGAAGATGTACCTATTAGGAGATAATTCTTCTAGCACAGCTGATAGAGTTGCTTTGGCCATAATGGAGAAAGATATGATGAGGGAGGAAGGGGAAAGAAGCCCACTTAGAAGCTTGGCAAGTGCCTTTTTAAGATGTAGGGTGGGAACCTTTTGTTAACCAGTGACTTTAATGGCCAGCCCTCTTTGTGTGTTTTTACCTCAAAGAAGAGCCCTAGGATCTTCACTGAAGTAAAAACGTTATTTTAAATATATTTAATGCCTTTTTGTGAAGGCATTAAATATATTTAAAATAACGTTTTTACTTCAGTTTGTTTATTATTTTAGTAAAAAGATCAGCATGATATCCAACCTGAGTTTGATTAACTTACTACTATCATTATTTATTCAGTCTGCTTTGTAAATATTGTTCTACAAAATGAGAAGTGCTTAAATTAAAACATTCTTTTAATTTATCAGTTTTGTCATGTTTAACAAATTATATGTTAACCTATTTAATTATTTGTAAGAGTTAATTTAAATTTTTCAACTTAAGAAATAATAATTATTAAGTGATTCATAAATCTTTGTCTTATTTTGCATGCTAGCATGTAGTAATTTATGAGGAAATTTTGTATATTTTAAGAAAAATTCTGGATCCTGAAAATATACTGCAGTCCTGGTAAGTGTAGTATGAAAAATAGTTTGGCAATGCTGTGAGTCAGACTTTGTAAATCTGTAAAACAACTGTGCTAAAGTATAGCCAGCTCACATCATTATAAAGTCTGGCTAGCAATGTCACCAAGCAATCATCTTGTGCTACTTCTTGCAAGAAGTTGTTATATATACTTGTGTTATTTATATTATATGCACAATCCAAAATCATATACAGCACAATTATTATTATTAAAATATATTATATTTCATATGTAGATTCCAGTATAAAACATTGATAATTATTTTTCAAAATCAGAAAATGCTGTTAAAGCATTTTAAGTTATGTTGTTAAGTTGTAAAATCTAAGAAAAAAAAAATTTAATTTAAAATTTACCACATTCATAATATTACAAATACTTACTAAATATAACTTCACAGATTTCTGTAAGCAACAATTTATGTTGTTCATCCATTTTTGGCAATGGCCTTAATTCGGGAAGATTCTCGTCAATTGTACAGTTCTGAAAGATATTAAATTATTAATAAGAAAACAAAATAATTTATTCTTACTAATTAAATTAAGTTTATCATCAATAATACACTTGATCAAAAATAAGGAAACTATATTCATAAGCTAAAATAGGAAAATACATCTTTAAGTTAGGACATTTGAAATTTACATCATTCGATAAAGTTCAAAAATTTGTGTTCGTATTCGTTTTATAAGATCCAGCTTGTTTTTCCTGAGGAAGAAGCCGGAAGGGGTTAGAAAAACATTTGATTTCTAATTGTGAATCGTATTATGCAGCAGTTAAAGGTTCGAGCAAGTTGAGTATTGTATTATACACCTCGCTGTGCAGTCTGGATTTATTTTATTTTACGCTAGCTACACATGTACTAGTGTGGATAAATGAACTATCAGCTTATATTAGAACTGTCAGCTTTATTTCATCTATTTAAGTATACCAGTAGGTGTGTAGCCAGTATAACATTTTCAGTAGGGGCAACCTGTCTCAAAATTAAGCCTTTCTGCTGCAATACACTCCTGGAATTGCTTCTTCCAGCATTGACAAGCTGCCATGTATGCCAGTTATGAAATAGATCTAAGTTTGTCCTGCGATTTTTTTTTTATAATTTCTGTGAAAAAACTGTACTTTCAATGCTTATTCAAGAAAAATAATGAATTTCACCAGTGGCAAATCCAAGAATAAGAGGTACATAATTTTGTGCCAAAAATTCCTATACTAGTAGTACCTGTCAAGTTTTCTTCCACAAATCCAGTCTTTTTTCATCAAACTTAATCTATTAAATGTTGCAAAAACCCTTACATACCATACAACTCAGCATTGGCATCTTTTTTCAAATAGCTTATATTAATACTGCACTAATCCATAGCAATTGAAAAACACAATAACTATAACTTTTACATTTAAATGACACATGTATACATTTTTTGGAAAGGGTTCATCCAGTTTTCTCCATTTACTAGATTGCCATTTAGTTTTGATGCTGTATCGACAGGCTTGTCTGTGTAATAATGGATTTCAGAAAGCTATCGTCTTCTTTGACACATTCAAACAGATCCCATGCAATTTAGAAGCATTGATGTTCCATTCTTGAGATTTGAGGAAAAACTTTGCAGCAACTCTACTGTATCCCAGGTTAATGAGAATAGCCTGATAAAAACCATATGAAATATTAGTGTCTTTTGCCGTTTCTCATATTGTTAGCTTCAGATTTTACCTTACCAAGGTTCCCTCTTAGTGCCCACAGGGGAGAAAGAATTAAAAAAATATATTAATAAAACAACTTCACCAAGGTTGCAATTTCTTCCTTTTTGTCATTAGAAGTGGATGTCGACAATCTTCTTGATCTTGGATTATTTCAACTGACAAGTGATTACTTTCAAAATTTTAAACAAGGTTGAAAATTAAAAATATTTGCTAGTTATCTGGAGGGCAATCAACTCTAGACTCCTGTTGCACAACTGGTACTAATAAAATCAGTTGAACATTTCTAGCAATCTAAAAGATGTTTGTTTAAAGTAGATGTCAACTTAGAGTATAAATTCTTACTGGGCATGTTTGAAATTTTTCAAATAAAGTTGTTTTCATTAAATAAAATTACATAAAAAATTCAAATAAACAATTCTGTGGTAAAAGATACACATAAAAGCTACTGTGTTTCCCCGAAAATAAGACCTACCATAGGTTTTGCTGAATTGCTAAATATAAGGCCTCCCTCCGAAAGTAAGACTTAGCAAAGTTCTTTTTACTCGTAATGGTCATCGACAGATGATTGAAAGTGGCCGTTGGCTTCTTGAAAGTACAGCCACTGATTGGTTAGCAGACAATTATGCCAACTTCATGATTTGTATAAAACTATGGCTTGGGAATCACAGATTTGCATAACATTACGGCTGGTGATGGCTAATTGGTCAGCCAGGAATCACGCCACATGACATTTGCATAGTGCTATGGTTCAGTAAGCACTAATTGGTCATTGAGCCCGATGTCGACGCTACAAAAAAGTTAAGTTGAAGTGAGAGTGGGAAGTCCACTCCAGCACAGAAACTTCGTAAGTTCAGTTCGGTTTTATTTAAGTTCAGTTCGACATGACTGGATATATGTCACTCTCGTCTAAGTTCAACTTCAAAATTTTTTTGTTCAATAATAAATGTGAATTCTTCTTCATGGAAAAAATAAGACATTCCCTGAAAATAAGACCTAGCGCATCTTTCAGAGCAAAAATTAATATAACACACTGTCTTATTTTCTGGGAAACACGGTAGTGAGTGGTCTTACATGACTCTGCTAGCACTCGAATGAGAGTGTTAAGTATACTGGAGAGGAAGTTTGATAATTGTCAACTATAATATACCATTAAATTTAGTGATGAAAGCTTAATTAAGTTTAAAAAACACTAAGAGTATGCCCATATGTCCACTTTTTCTGACCTTTTGATTTACCTAGGTCATAATAATTAAACTATTATTTCAAAAAATACTATTTTTATAAACATATCCTATAATTTAAAATTTATTTGAAAAAGAGAAAATTTATGATGTTAAAAAATTACGATTGAAAATCTGCAATCAAACATTTGTATTGCATCTGACTTTCAAAATCAGATGCAAAACATAAACAAAATTTAATAAACTAAACAATTACCTAATTAAATAAATTAATTATAATAAGGTTACAATGTAGCATATAAAATGAGCTTCAATATAATTATCTCATGTCACATTTTAAGAAGTAAAATTCATAATCTTTGTAAAGTTTGATTTCATAAATTATTTTTAAATACTGTTTTCCAAAATTTCATTTTCAATTTTCGAATATTTGAGAAGCTTCTTAATAACTCTGACACAACAATAGATGGACAAGTCACACCCTATCCTCTGGGAATCCAGGGTTGAATCTGGATGAGTTGAAAAACCCTGGAAATTTTTTGGGGTAATTTTTCTAGATACATTGGGCCCCAGTCTCTCGATGCCCATATGCTCCACTGTAAACCTGCTTAATCTGTAATGGGCTCGCTAAATAGAGGCCTTTTTAGTGCTCACAGAATGAAGAGTTAAAAATAATAATAACAACAACAACAATTTTGAACTTTGTTCACAAATTATAAAATAAGAATTTATGTAATTTTGTATAAAATATCATCAAATTTTTTTACTTATTTTAAAACTGTATTATTATTAATTACTTAAAAATTTTAAATTACTAAACAAAATAAAAATCATACTTGTTTGTAATGTCCGGTTTTCTGACACTGTCGACAATATAATGTTGGCTTCTGAAATGAGATAATTTCAAAAGATTATCAGTAAATTTTTATCTTTAATAAGTTAATTTAACTAAAATTTATAATTTATTACCCATCTAAATAAAAACATTTTCTCCCAGTGTACAGCAAGATTGCAATAAAACTTTTCTAAACCATTGTCATAATTTAACAATGTTTAATATTCTTTTTGATTATAAAAATGGTTTTGATATGATCTGTTGATTTTTGAAATGATTATAAAATATATTCCTATATTTTATTATGATAAATAAACTAATAAATTAGAAAACTAAAACAAAACCTTTTCTTTCTGCATGTATTAATCAAATCATATTTTAAAGCTTACATTACAAACAGTAAACAAAACCTACATCAACACATTAAACTGTAAAATGTAAGTGTGTGTATGCAATTTTATTACTTTGTATGAAGGTGGATTGATAAATAACCAGCAAAAAGTAACAGCATAATTGATTGACCTGGCTGATTATTTATTTATCGATCCACCCTTATAGTTTAATGGCAAATAGATGTTCCAATTTGTGACCATCAAATAAATTTGTAAAATTATTCTTTAGTTTATTTAATACTCTCTAACTATATCAATAATAATTTTAATCTAGATAAATCCTTAAAACTATTGACAATGTGCATGATAGCTGCTTTGCAAAAATATTACTGTGCTTTGGATTTTGATGTTTGATCATGTTTCAATAAATGCTGGCATTTTGAACTACTTATTAAACATACTTATTTTGTGATGTACTCTGGTGTCAGGGAGAAGAAACAGTGATCAGAGCAGTTCATATAAATCCTGTCGTATCCATCAAAGGATATCAGCTTTGCTTCCTTATTTAATAAAATTCTCTCATATTTATATTAAACAAAAACAGAATTCACAGTGAAAATTAAAATTTAAAATATTAGACAATAACTATATTGAAATGCAGTCAATAAACATACAGTGGTGCCTCGTATAACATACACCTTGAATAATGGATGCTGCGAACAACGGACTTTCTGCGAACAAGTGCAAATGCTGTTTTCACTCTTTGCCAATGATGACATTGCCAATGACAATCTGCTATTTTTATAATATATTAGTATTATTAGAATATATTATTCATATATCTGAAGTATAGAGCTCCTGTTGAAATTCGGCTTGCTCCCTTGTTTATTATGTACATCACCACAGTGCAGAGTATTTACATTTATTCAAGTGTTGTGCAAATCATGGCTTCTAAAAAAACAGAAAGGTGATTTCACTTGAAACAAAGCAAGAAATCATCAGGAGGAGTGAAAATTAACAAAAACTTCCTTGTCAAATGGGGAGATGTTCATGAGTTTACCAACACTCATTATCCAAACAGAGCTGAGGCTAACAGGATCAATGATTTCTATAATGACACCCTTGCCCGTCATTTCCGCCTTAAAGAAGAGAGAGAAACAGACCACCTTGGACATGTTTTTCAAGAAGCAAGCTGCCAAAAAACAAAGGATGGAACAAGAGGAGTTGACCCTGCAAGCTCCGGTAGCCTCTCCTGAATCTGACTCCGATTAAAAAACAATAAAAAGAAAACTGTTGCAATGTGTAAAAAGTCTGTATCTGTATGAATGCATGAAGAAAGTATTCCTCCACCTCCTCCTCACAACATCTGACTACCCGGCATAATTGGTGACTGCTCCATTTTCATTTTTTTATGGTACAGTATGGTTATTTTATGCTGCGGAAAGAATTATATGTTTTAACATGTATTTCTATGGAAAAATGCGTTTCGTATAACGGACTTTTCACTTAACGGACGTGCACCTGGAACGGATTAAGTACATTATACAAGGCACCACTGTAATTTTCTTAATGACTTGTCTGATACTGCATTGGGTTTCAACCATGGTTCACAGTACACTAGGGTAAAGCAATGACACTTTAGGGTAGGGATGGGCAACCTGCAGCCTGCAGTAATATTTTTTGCGGCCTGCGTAAAATATGAATAAATATCTCAATTTCCTAGCTTAAGGAAGTATGCAGCAAAAATGCAAATGTTATTTTCTACAACTTATGTATGTGAACAGTTTTTCTACAATAAATTTAGTAAAAATTAAAACAAAAAACCAGCTAACAGATGATAAAAGTGAATAATTATTATTGGACTTCACCCCGGATATTAGATAAGCAAGTTGAGAAGTTTTTTTGTTTTCTGCAAATTGAATTCACATTTCAGGTTGGTTCATTCTGCACTAGAAGAAAAGATGATGATGATTCATGCTCCTTAACAATGTATATGGTATAATTTTCTTTGAATAAACATTATACATAAAATATTTAAGTATTTTTTCAGCATGGAATGCATTATCATAATTTACATTAATTTATATGGCAAAAACTGTTTTGCTTAACGAGTAAGATTCTGGAATGAATTATGCTCGTTAAGTGAGATTCCACTGTAATGCCAAGCAGCACCATAAAACTTATGTATAGCCCATTACTAAAGTGAAGTACAGTAACTCTATACTGATGAAATAGGGTGGAAGAAAAATATCATCAGGTTGGACTGCCAATACATCGAATCTCTCATCTAATAATAAATACATTCACATCAGAAATCTAATTAAAAAAAAATAAATGGTGGGTAAAATTATATTTCATAAATAGAATTCTTAGTAAAAAAAAATATTAAAATAAAGCAAGACAGTAGAAATTCATAATAAATTTTTTTTTGTAATAGAATGAAAAGAAAAAGATTAATGAACAAGAACAACCATGCATACATCCATCTTAAGAAATTATGTTTAAATATCACAAAAATCTGCTACTGTGAAATACAAAATAGAAGGTATGTTATCTGTAAAAATTACATGAGTAGTTTTAGAGATTTAATTATATACATATAATTAATCAAATGTAATTTTCAAAAACAGTTAACTGAGGAGGAGCATTATGAGCCCAAAGATGTGTATTAACTGAAATTGAATAAATAAAGAATAGAAAACTGCCTAATGTCTGATTGATCACACTTCATCATGCTAAATAAACAAACAAATAATTTTTTTTTCTAACAAAAATTAAATAAATCAATTATTTTCAGCCATCTTCAAATTAAAATAGCATCAATGATGAGTGCAGAATGTAGAGGGTGATTCAAAAGTCACAGAAATTTTAAAAAATTAACTCTCAAACTATTTACAGTAAGATTATGTGGTTATCAAAAAATCCCACTTATTTCTAAAGAAACGAGATTTTTTTGTGTAATAAAAATTTTAGTACCAAAATAGTTACATTTCTTGCCATAGATGACACTTGATAAGATTACATAATTTGTGAAGTTGTTACTAGAGCTTTGGCAAAAAATATTCAGGGAAAAAATATTTAGTGTATTTAAAGCCAACTTGCCCATTTGGCACTCAGTAGCGATTTCCCTTTACCATCTTCTACTTAAAAGAATAAAATTACAATGTTCACTTTCATTTATTGAGTAAAAAAATTTAAAAGAAGTTATTTATCATTAAAATAAGATGTAGTGTAATGTAGTCTTATATGCATAATATATGGTAATTTTGTTTACAACACTTTTTATAGAAAAAAATTTAACATAAAGTTAACCTAAATTATCAATATTAACAGAACAATTTAATAAATGAGAAATGTTAGTTTGATGTCTGAGACAGTTAATGATAATTTGGATGAACGACGGTAATGTCGGTAGACCTTGCAACCTAAAAGAAGTAATACAGGCTAGTTCTGCATTCTGTCCAGTTTAAATGCTGCTTGATGAATATTTGATTGAATAAACATGATGCTTTATTAACATAAAACACACTGAATGTGTTAATTATAATTTTGTTGATCAATCAAAAAGCACACCATCTGTAAAGAATATTATCCAATAATTGAGGTTCAGTACTTAAACTCAATATTTCATAGTTCACAAACTACTCGCAAACTCCCACTGTTTACAATCACTTTTGACTGATGGTGATTTGTATTTCTGTCAAAAAGTGTAACAAGAATAAATACATGTGCACCTAAGACAATCTGCCATTTTATAAATGTATGCAGAATGATCCTTCCTATTTGTTTTTCCAATTTTGCTATATTAGAAATATATAAGAAGCAATCATAACTGACCCAGAAACCCTTAACAGATGCTCTTGCCCCAGCCAATAGTTACAAGCATCTGTTTTGAAGGCCTACCAGAAATGTCCATTAATCCTTCAGGTAGGCCTCTTGTCCAATCTACTGTATGATCAAGGAATCAGCCCAGTGCTCAGAGAACCCGAGATTAAATTGGAGTAAGCAAATCCAGAAGTTTCTCTGAGATAATCTGTCTCAGGTATGTCAAGTTTTGGTCCTCATCATCTGACCAACCCATATGATTAAAATACCCTCTTAGTGTCCACAGAGTGGAAAGAGTAAAGAAAAGGAAATAGTAATTGTTATATAACACCTACCGCTGAGAATGATGAGAATTGCTGAAAATCAAACAAACTATTTTCAATTTGATCAATTTTCTGGAATGTTTACAATCGTTCCATATTCAAATCAATATGCAATAACAAATTCAAATTTATAATGATTTGAACATTTGGTTAAAAATTCAAAATATATAAAAATATTTATAACAATATCTGAAATGTTATCAATTTAATACACCTAAGTACTCAATGAAACTAAACGTAGTTGAAAACAAAAAATAGTACACCTAAAATAGTACAGTAGAAGCCGTTCTTCAGGTTAAGCCTTAATCCTCTCCCTCTCCCCCCATGGAGAGAATTTCGAACAATCCCTTTTTAGCGTGCATTTTCATGACATACCCTGTGTACCAAATTTTACATCTTTAGATTCAGTGATTTGCTCTAGGTGGTGATGAATCAGTCAGGACAAGTAATTTTATATAATCAGATACAGCATTAACACATGTAAAATTAATATAAAAAATTATATACAAATATAATTATATTATTTATTCAAATAAAATTTGTTTTTTTAGAAAATGCTATTTTTTAATTCAAAGGATTGCCATATAAATGTGAGGAGTCTTTCTATAATTTTTAATGATAAGACACATTTTTGAAACACTTCTTCATTTATGTCTGTTTTCCAAGGAGTTTAAAATAGGAAAAATATCAAATGTTGACTTAACTGTCAACAATTGACTATTCCAAGTAACAAGTCTTTCCTCCTTGCACTGACCTGTGAAAATAACAAAATTATGTTAAAACAATCAATTGTAAAGTGTGAGAAAGCTGACACTTAACTTAGTCCACAGGGGAAATCTAAAAACAATTGAAGGAAATACTAAACCTTCAAATTGACTTTGTTTAATTTTCATCCTCCATACCAAACAAATGGTCACCTGATCAGATTCACTTGATCAGGTGACCATTTATTTAATCACTTGATCAACATCAAGTGACCAAACAAATGGTCACTTGATGTGGATATAATGTGAGTGCACCCAATCTTCGGGGCAATCAGTCCCAAAGGAATACCCTTTTGCCTTGTAAAGTGTGTAGGTGACTCCCAGCATTTATTACCCTGGTTCTCTGGATTTTCGCTCCCTACCGATCGCTCATCCAACGGACCATATTGCCAACATCCAATACAACCGGATCCGGAACCAATAGCCAGCTGTACAAGGTAGAATACTTTCAATTATATTTGTAAACTTTCTCTCTCTCAATTAGTAGTAGATAGTATGAGGGAATGATATCCCTAGCACCTCGCGAGAGCTGTATATTGTAATCTGGGCTTTATATATATATAAAACCCAGATTTTAATATATATATTAATATATTAAAATTTGTTATTTCGTTAAACATGGTGTCAACTCAATTATTCAAAACTCGGACTCCAATCGCTTGTTCACAGCTCTTCACCATTCGATATTTTAAAAGCCCTCCAATGATAGCTATAACTCGAAAATCACGAGTTAAGACGTGTTATTTCTTAACTGGTGTCAGACATGACAGGAGAGGGAAATTTTACGATTTCCTCATCTCTGACCATAAACAAATGGAAACAGCCATCCAGTGACAGATCTCACCGATTCATCATTGTGAGGATTTAGGCATTTTTGTGAGTTTTAAAACTCAAAACATTTTTTTATTATTCATCATTATTTCCCTTGGAGGTTGAAATTAGACCTTTTGACCCATCAATGTTCTGCGTCACTTCGGACGGTGACCTTTAAAGTTTCAAAGATGTTCGGGACGACAGATAAAGTTCTCCCCTCACCACAGGGATTATTCATTTCCATCTTTGTTTCGATGTACAACTAACTAGCCAATTAACAAGAACTTCAACTTGTTACGCGTGTAGAGGGTAACAAAAGGGTCACCGACAAGGGTAGACCATTTGAACAATCATCACTCAGGTTGCACCTCAAACTCTGACCTTAGTCACCTGTGGCAATTAATTCAGTGAGTTTGACAGCTATTGTCAAATTTATGATGGGAAAGTGTCACAATAACAGATAGAAAAGGTAATAAATTTAAAAAATGGTTCACTTCCTGACAAGTAATATAAACAAACCCACGACGTAAGTCCCTTACATGGGATTGCATAAGACTTAGTATTAGTCACCCCTCCGGGATGTGTATAAAAAGGGCTTGGACACAGTCCTCCGTGTGGACATCAACAGAAGACATTGACTGTGGACCTCAACTGACCCATACTGCCACTCTGTCTGTCACCACCTCGCCATAATCTCCAATGGTCAACTCTGCCAATCCAGAACGTTTTTACCAATGACCCATAGTAGGAGATCGGGAATGTAGAGGTATTATTAAGATATTTTATTTGTATATACTCTCTCTTAGTTATAAGATAGATTAAGAATAGTTTAACTTGGAGAATACTGGACAAGAAATGGTTCCAAACTTAGACGACAAGAATAGATTAATCATTGTCGCAACCTAGAATTTTTGATTATTTCAATTTTTGTAGCCATTCACTTTTGCATTTGCTTTATATAATTTTATCATTTATTAAATGTGTTATTCTTGTTTAACCTGTGTAATTATTTTGGAACCTGTTGACTTACTCATTGACCTTCCCACTCACTTTTAGCCCTCCTAAAGCCATCACCTGAAAGGACACCGATAAGTGGGGACTAGCTTGCTATTTAACCTCGGTTCACACAATCACCGATCAAAAGGGTTTAGAGGTTGTCACTCTAACCCCAGCTTTTCACATAACTCAAAGAATCAATGAGTTGTATACAGTCGACCCCCCCTATAACGTACATTCCTATAACGTAGCGAAAAAATTGTAGAAACTTTCGTATAAAGTACCTCCTATAACAAGATTGATAGAGTCTGGACCAATAGTGAATGAGCAGCCGAACTACTTACCTCCGACTCTGCGCCACGCTACGGAGCGGCTAAATTGAGTTTGCTATCGTCTGTTTAGTATTATATATAAATTAGGTACTGTACATATAATTATATATTAATTATATATAAATTAGGTACTGTATATATAATTATATATTAACTTAATTTATTGTAACTTTATTATAATTATATATATGCTTTCTGCCGCCTGGCAACACGCTACGGAGATTTTAGGCTAGTAAGTTGAGTTTATTATCGTCTGTACAGCATGTAAATTAGGTACCGTAAGTCTAATACAGCACTAATTTTATACATTTCTTGTGAAAGAAACACTTCTTATTCAACGGCCATAAAAATTATTTATATTAATGATGTCTCCAAAGGTCAAGTTATTTTTCTGCGAAAAATTCGTTATCAGAAATCGCGGCCGTCATTTCATGTGCTGTTCCGCGAAGAAAACCAGCTTTAAGCAACGGCGTAGTCGAACGGTACACACTCGGTAAGTAATCCTATAATTTTTTGTTTATAGCATAGTTTATACAGATTATTCCCAAAAAATTATACGTATTTTGGAAATGTTGAGTGGAATTAGTCTAGAATCGGTTAATTTTATAGAAGAAAACCTTTCGAACAGCCTTAGTCCGTAAAGTTCCCACCTATCGGGCTGCGATTGGCTCATGTATTTAATCGTTCCTACAACGTAAAATTCGATTAGCGTGGAACGTATCTAAGCGTTATAGGGGGGTCTACTGTATATCTTTTAAATTAAGTAGATAATGGAGTATATAGTTAAAGTATAAAATTTTGTTATTTTACAAAAACAAATATTCTTGAAAAAATATTAATATTAAACTAATAAATGTTTTTCAAAATTATCATAATAACATAAGAAAAAATAAATCAAAGTAATTTATAAATTCAGCAAAATGGCTGTCTTATTCATAGTGCTTAGCACAGTAATTTTCAAAGTTATTTGATCGACAAACTGATAAAACCAAATCACAGATGAACCATGAACCACCACTGCTCACGTCCACTTCCTATCTTGTAAATATTGTCTTAACTGTGTGCCATAATACTTTGTTATCCAGTAACCTAATATTAAAGATATCTGATGCATAAAAATGTTCTTTCAATTGACTAAATGGCACAGAATTGCATTTTAGAAGAATGACTAGGTTAGTCTGCAGATCATCAATGGTCCACAAGATAATATTTTAAGAAACACTGATTTAGCAGACAGCTTATAACATTACCATAACTGTTAAAACTACAATAAATAAAGTGTCTTCCAAAAATAAAATTGCAGTTCTGTAAAATAATAGCAACGCTAATTATTACCTGAGAATTATGTGACATACATTAGTTGATAGAATAAATATCTAAATTTCACCTACCATCTGCATACAAAGATATTGTCATCTACTGCCTCTAGGAAGCACTGTGAATAAAAATGGTGACACTGCAACAGAGAAGATTTTTTTATGTTCAGCATCCACATACTCAGAATCAGTCATCATTGTGCAACAAGAATGTTTGCCTTATAAGATGGATTACTTTGAAATTGTCTGCAAATGATAATTTCAAAGTGATCCACACTACAACTGATTCCAACTTTGTGAACTGCAAAACACAAAATGCTTTCTGTTGCATAGTTACCATTTTTGTTTATGGTACTTTCTAGAAGCAACATACAAAAAGATATTTATATGCAGATGACACTTGAACATTTACTTTACATTTTCAGATACTTAAACTCATTAATTTCTAACTTTTGTTAAATTATTTCAATAAAAAACAAATTTCTATAAATTATGTTGATGTATTTGAAAGTAAAGTAAGTTTGAAAAAAAAAAGATTATTCTAGAAATTAAATACAAAAAAGAAAAAAAGCAATAAAAAAATATTGTTTACCTTAAGTGTTATAAAATTAGATACATCAAATTTATATAAAAATGTTGATTGATTATTTTCACTTGTATTTAAAGTCTGTAAATTAGAATTATCATGCAAATCTGAACTTCCAGGAATGCGATACTTCAGAGCATCCTCAGCATTATTTCCTAAATTCAGTCTACTTAGTATAGTTTTTACGGTATCAGTATTTAAAGCACTATCTTGTTCTTCTTCAAACTTTTCACAAATATCATCTGAAGATACGAAATCTATATCTTCGTCATCATCCTCATCGTCCTCATCTTCGTCGTCTTCAAAAACTTCATTTTCAATCAAACTTTGATCTTCACATAAGAATTTTCATGTAAAAAAATAAAATAAAATCAGAAAATACATTAATAATTTTCAGTTTTTTTAATCATCAACTATTATTATTACATTTTACACTAAAAAATAAAACCCATAATTCTGATTATAAGAAAAATAGAAAAATTTATGAGTGTTAGAGGCATGATGTCAGTATGTTTTATATCATTATGGTATTAGAATATACATGTAACACATTAATGTTTAGACATTAGGTCTTAATGTTGGAATGTCAACATGCTGTGTTTGTCCAAAAAAAAAACTTTCAAATCATTATATGATTTCAACTATACAGGTAACCCCCGTATAACACGGTAGTTACGTTTCAAAAAATTGCCGTGTTATGCGAATCAAAGAACTAGTACGAAAAGGAGGGTTAGGTTCCAAAAATTAAAAAACATGCTACTATATTTTCATAATTAAGTTAAATATCTTTATTAAAATTTTCTTAAGTGATACATATGAATATAAATTAAACAATGTTTTCTTTGTCCTCACTAAAAGCACTATTAACAGAGAGTGTTTTATTTTTGGCAAGTTATCATTATCCTCTGAGCATTTTTCTGCATTATTTTCAGATTCATGCTTTACCTTTTGCAAAAAGTGTATGTAATTTTAGATTGCTTGCTTCTAGTTAAAAGATCTTTATAATTTTTTTTTTATGGTGCTAAGCACTTATGGAATAAGGGAAAAACATATGGCAACACCAGAAGCAGAAGCGTCGAGATATGGCAAAATTGAAACAATTTTCACGAAGGACCATGTGTATGGAGACGACAAAAGAAAATTTACACACTTAAGTACTAATAGTTCACGAAAATAATAATTTTCGTGAACTATTAGTACTTACGTATGTAAAAATTTATTACATTTCATGTTGTACAAGGGTTTTACCCATTTCTTGAACCGTGTCAGAGTGAATCCATGCTATAAAAGTACCGTGTTATACGGGGGATGGTACCAATTCTCGAACCGTGTTAGAGTGAATCCGTGCTATAGAAGTGCCGTGTTATACGGGGGATGGTACCAATTCTCGAACCGTGTTAGAGTGAATCCGCGCTATAGAAGTGCCGTGTTATATGGGGGTTACCTGTATAAGTAAAATATTATACAGTATACCAGAAAGAATTCTATCATTTTTAATTAATGTAATTATGTTAATTATAATCTGAGAAGCATGCAACATACACCAATTGATACAGTAACTATCCAAGTTTCATCTCCCATTAACATTTAAATGCTTTGTGGTCTATTGCTTCTAAGAAGCATTGTAAACAAAAATGGTAACTCTGTAATAAAGTGAGTGATTCTGACTTTGTATTCTGCAGTTTACAAAGTCAGAATTATTTGTTGTTATGCAACACAAGTAATCTGCAGGAGCTACAAAATTGAGTCTATTAATGGATGAGTGACAATGGATATGCCGGAAGAATTTAGGTATTGGTTAGATGTGTGCCAAGCAAGATATACAGTACATGTTGAGAAACTGTAATGAGCAAATGTAAAGCTTGGATTGTTTTACAATGTGTAAATGTACAGTACATTACAATGTTCCCAAATAGTAACACAATTACAATGGTAGCATTCTTTTATTATTTTTAAAATTAATATTGAATTACTGGTAGTTTGTATTTTGAAGCATTGTACTTACAAGAGTAATAATGATCAGTACTGAAACTAATTGTTTATCACCAATTATTTTCATAAACAATGTTTAATAAGCACAAAATATTGCATTAAATAATACAAATACATTATAATCTGTAAAATATTTTTTCCTTAGAAACAAAAACTAATCACTTATACCCATTTTCAAATTATTGAATTTTTAAGGCATGGTACCTAGTAACTTCAAAGCAATTTTCATTGTCATTCCATAAATGTTTTATGGTAATGATTGAAGATGTTAACACTGTTTAAACTGTTACTTCTTGCAATTTTTGCATGTTCATAATTCTACATATGCAAACATTGTGTGGAAATCTATTGATTATTTAACTTGTTTTACATCTGAGGTAGAAGTTTGTTAGTCCAGCATACATGAAATTACAACAGTGCCAGATCACTGAAAATAATCTACAGTAGAGCGTCGATTTTCCGAATCAATTGGGGACTGGGGTTGTTCGTATAACTGATATTTCGGATAACCGATTTATGCACGAAAAAATAGTTTAACGTATCCGATGTTGAAATTTTTCTCCATTGCATGTCACTTTGCGTTGAATTTTCGTCGATGTTAAGCCTAACTAAGGGTATTGTATCGTTAAAAATTATTTTTTTATTTTGTACAAACAAAATAAATATATTGAAAAATATAAAAACGATAAAAATTATACTTCAAATGTTAATTTAGTATCAAAAACATAAAATATTTAAGTAGCCCAAGACATAGCCAAAGATTGAAGCTCCACAGCACTGGCGAAAATTTAAATTTGCCAACTGGAAATCTTTCGGATGATTGACATTTCGGATGATTGACTTTCGGAAAATCGACGCTCTACTGTATTATGAAACATTTTTGTATTTTTACAAACTTTGATAGGTTATGTGCAGTGTGCACCTGTAGACATTACTGTACAATTTGTACCAGTGCATGACTAGATTGTGTTAAGTTTGATAGAAAAACCTACAAAAATGTTAATAAACATATTATGGCCCAGGGACTTTAGTGCTCCAATATCCAAATAAATTCCAATTTGTGAAACACTTGCATAATGAATATTACCAGACAAGTATGGATTTGGCTACTTTTAAAGTACCAGATTAACATATTTCAATTGTATTTATTAATTTCTAATATAACAACATTCAACGAAATAATCCAAAATATTTATCCTTTATTCAAAAGTTTAAAATAAATTGTTGAAAATGAAAATAAAATAAATAAATATATGTAAGTGTGTATGATTGAACCTATTCATTTTTGTAAGTTATAATGCTTATTTTAATATGGATGTAGTTGTAATTAGTATTTTTATGTATTAATAATAATATATAATTATTCATAATTAAGCATGCAATTATTTAATTTCCACACTTAAATAATATATTGGAAATTGATATATCTGAAAAAATGAAGCATAAACTATCACATACACTGATACTATAACACTTACCAGAAGGTGATCGACAAGTTATAAAATATTCATAAGTGCTTCTTATACATTCAACAATATAATGAAACCACTGATGATTTGCAATGGATCGTGCAACATTTCTTTTTTTATGATAAGGATCTAAACAAAAAATTATTCATTTATTTAAATAAATCACTATTCAAAATTTTTTTAGTATTTATATTTTTTAAAATTTTCTAAAATAAAACAATTTACAACTAGTACAAATATTAAACAACAAATTAATTGGATAATTTAAACCTGTTATTATTTCCTTTAAAATTTGTATTAAAGCTGGTGTCAAAATAAAGTTATTTCAAATTTTTTTAGTATAAATTTGGATAATTCAAAGCAATTTCTCACGTTTCAAGTGTAAAAGTGAGAAAGAGCAAACAGAATTTAGTCAATTTATTATTAACTCCTAAGTTAGAGCAAAATTATGTGTTTCACAGTTTTAATAATGTTTAAATCTGCATTGCAGGGCTGTCTAGTTACATTTTTATGATGTTTGAATGAAGGATGAAGTGATTAGAAAAGTGGAAAAGAAAGCAAAGATAATGTGATATCATCAAAGAATATGGATTACTCTAAATACTGTACACATGTATGTAATATTAAAAACACTACCCTAGTTTATTTTATTTACTTCATTCTTCAAAAATATTATAGTTATTAGAAAATTAAACAAGAAAAAAAAGAGAACTCAAAAATATATTTACAAACCTTCTATACACATCATTCGTGTTGTCCACTTTTTCTCAGTACATAATAAAGGTTTCAACTGACAGACTGAAATTACATGATGCTTAAACAGAAATTTTGTACCATAAAATTTAAGCAATTCCATCCATAATTGAGCCACACTTTGATTATTTATAGATTTCCAAGATGTCTTCTGAAACTTTATATTTCAAATAATTAATATTTTATCAAATTTTTTGTAAAATATGTTATATAATAAAAAATTAAAATTAATAATTTGCTATGAATAACTTTATGTGCTGTTGTGAAGCCCTAATATTTCTAGACTTTTGTGTAGTGTTTGTGGTATGACACCTATGCAAGAAAATACTACAGGTACTGTACATGTACAATTAATATCTTATCCAAGCAAGAGGAGGAAAAAACATTAATTCACAATTAACAAAGCATCAATGTTGTTTTCTACTCCTGCTTCAATGAAAAAATCAGTAAAGAAGTAAATTATAAATGGATGAGAGGGATAAAAGACAATTTATTTTTTTAAATGTGATATTTTTAAAGTTTATCATCATATTTGTTTAAGAAAAATCCAGTTTTGAAAGTCTTTATAAAATACAGGTACTAAAGACATAAGAACTAATGAGGGTATGACACCCAAAATGCATTTTCTTGTAACTAATATCAAAAGTCTAAATTCATTCCTGTAGCCTCCAACATTTCCTGTATGATAAGTCTGTTAAAAATGTGATACTCTAAGCTTTAAATTTTGAAACTGCTGGGATATGACTTGCAAGTTGTTCTGAATATGTGAAGAAGCATTCATTTCTCTTGAGAATGGTGAGAATGCAATCTAACAAGTGATTTCAATTGTCACTTATTGGCTTGATGATGCAGAAATAAGTAAAATATCTGATAGATTAGATTTTCTGTGAGATAAGTTTCTTCAAAAGGCAAATCTATGTGTATTGTGGTTCCAAGTGACAGAATGTCATTGGTAGATACTGCATTAACTAGCCTTTAATTACTTTATTTATGTTAAGGCTGAAAGTTAACTTGGTGTCATATATTATTTCTAAATCATTAACTTGAATAATCTATCCTTGCTGTAATTGAAAATTTAGCTATATTTATATAAAATATTAATATTTTTTTTAACTTTAATTCAAATAGTACTAAAAGATGTATAAAAACATATAATCTAAATGACAATATTGATAAAATTTACATTATGTTTTTAGTTCTTTATTAGAATAATATTTAATTTTTGCATACATCAGTTAATGTTTCATAAATTTATTCTGATATTCACAAATGTTTGATAAGAACAATATTTATGTAAAAAAATTAATTAAATCTAATTCAATTTTATTATATTAATAATTTAAAATGTAACACTTACCACATTTCCAGAATCATCACCATCAAAATCTGTCAACTGTAAAATCACATTGAAAATAAACTTTATTAAATCAACTGTTACAATTAACAACTTTTTAAAAACAAAAATGTACTTTCAGTTATAAAAAACAATATCAAATTTCCAAAATAAATACAATAGAACCTTGGTAACTGGTCATCCATGGAATCAGAAAAGATTGCTAAGTTTTTTGTTTTATTTGTTTACAACAACACATGGGTGAACTGCTGAGAAAAATTCCTCTTAAAAAGACTTTTATGGAAAGCTAACCCTTATTTAGCTGTTACTAATGTGAAAAGCAGGGACCCTGGGTCAACCCCATTTCACATACAGAATGGAAAAGTAATATAAAAAAAAGACAGAAGAAATTTTTCAAGAGTCCTGACACCAGTTAGGATATTAATTATTATTATATTAATTAATTTATCTTCTGAGTGAAAAAGTATTTTTAAAGATCAACTGGACTTTTAGGAGGGTTTAGTATAAAAGCTAAATTACGTAAGATATGTAAAATGACAATGGAGTTAGGCATTAAACAAATAAACAACAATTTGGAATATATCTATATATTTATTATACAAACTATATTATATATACATATTAAATGGAAATTCAGAACGATAATAAGAATAAAACAAAACTGATTGGTTCTGATATTCATGTAAAGGAGGACTACAAATCCTAACCTATTAAATCTATCCAGATGAGAGAGTGTTTACATAACAAAATTATACTATCTATGATTTGTGTATCAATGTTGATACTCTTTCAATTGATGAGGGAGACTGTAGACTTGTCAAATTGAGTGCACAAAGTAAACTACGAGAATCTTTTGGCGATGACTGAAGAGCGATGAGAATGTTGGCTAAAGCATTGGCAAAAGCCTTAGCAGGAGTGCATTGGAAGGTGACCTCATCTTTTATACTGAATTTTATTCAACTGAATTATTGTAAACAGCACTTCATGGTTCCTACATGTGACAGAAGTCAGGCAGACCTGCAGAGAGAGAGTGAAATATCCACTCAAACTATCACTTTTGGAGGAATTAAACTGCCCTCATCCGGCAGTAAAATAAAGTTCCCTTTTACTTAAATTTTAGATCTATCAAAATAATTATAAATAAATATTTTAAAAATTAATTCTTATGCCTCTATGTCCTTACAGTATTTAATTTTAATTATATCTTTGTGTACATTGGACTTAGTATGTTAATAGGACTTATTATACTAGTGTTGTATCAGTTTTTGCAAATAGAGGAAATCTTATTCAGAGAACACAAAATCTTCATTTTTCACTTGGTTTTTCACCTGAGAAACCAAGGTGATTATTAATTTTGCTTATAGTCACCACCCCACACCTTGAGCACCTCAAATGGTTGGAAACAATGGAGATTTTTAAAGCTCCTCCTCCTGCATTAATTCGAAGGACGAGATTGGTCTTTCAATGGCCTGGCAGGCTTTACTACAAACTTAACATTATATTCTTAATTTCAAAGAAAATGCGGAAACAAGTACGCTTACGTTATGGTTATTACATCTCATACACATGTAGATTTATTTTTGTTGTGTGATTTTTGACTTGTTATTGACAACCATTTTGGACATTGATGGCTAAGTTAGAACATTTTTAAACACAACACGTGAACTGATATGCAGAGGAACTGGACATTCGAAATTTACATTGTTTGATTTTGTTCAAAATTTTTGTATTCGTTATTCTTTTTAGAAGATCCAGCTGATTTATCTGACAAAGAACCAGGAAAGGGTTTTGAAAACGTTTGGATTTATTACATTTTTACTTATTACGCACCGGTTAAAGGTTCATGTAAGTCCATATTTTGTTATATATGCCCTTGTGTGCAGTTTGGGGTTTATAGTATACTTGTTACATCATTTGCCAAACTACATTTATTATTAAATACAATGGAGTTAAATCATTTATGAGACATGCTCATTACAGAAAGTGTGAAAAAAACTGCACCTATTCATATATCTTTCCTTCCCTGTCATCGTGTCAACCAACGAAGCAGTTTCCAAAGATGGCAACCTTACATAACATAATGGGATAGTTCATTGAGTAAAAGGAAATTAGCTGTAATTTCTTTGGGGTAGTGTTGCAACATTAACTTTATCTAAAATAAGATTAAAAATTCATTTCATAGTACACAATAAAAGCATGAATATCCACATATAAATGGAAAATTTTCACGTTTCTTTCAAAAGATTGAAAAATAATTGGGAAATCCAGAATCATTCTTAAGCTTGATGTTTATTAATTAATGAATGTAAATTGTTAATTTTTCCAAACTAGCATAACTTTAGAAAGTATTTAAAAGAATCAGAATTGGGAGCTTTCAGCAGAATTGGAATTGGAAGAAATTTTGGTATTGTCCCATCACTACTTGTTACCTTTTCTCAATTAATTTTAATGTGAAATAAATCATTCATATTAAAGTGTAACTGCAACAACACACCTTTTTATTATTAAGACTATTTTAGTTATAAGTTGTATAATAAATTATATTAAAATAAATGTTATATATACAATTAAATTCACTAAGGTATAAAAAGAGGCTTAAAAGTGATATATTGTATAAATTTTTCATATCTGTAATTTTTATTCTGAGATGGCTGTTGCCATCCATTTTTGCTTGAGGTAGCATAAGTTTGCATTACTTGGATAATTGGGGTTCTACTGTATCTCTCTCTATTTTGGAAAAATGAGTCACAGAAAACCTTAATCTAGACTTTTGATCAGTTAACCAAAATTATAGTTTGATTTAGCAATGAATTAACTTGAACTACAATAGTATGCATGAAAAATTGATAAACCAGAAAAACATGATATTTATGAGCTTAGATTGTATTTATCATCAAAATAGAAACATAATAACTGTTCAACTAAAAACAATTATGCTAGAAAATTTAAATTAAAACATTAATAAATTCTTAGCACTTGAACACTGTTTAAATGTTTAATTTAATTAATAATTTCTTTATCATCAGAAAATTTTGAGAGATGTACTAAAACAATTTACTGTTTCAATAACTGAAAGTACTGATTTTAAAATAACTTATAATTGTTTTAAATATTAACAAAATGTTCAACTACTCTGGAAAGCTAAAGATAAATTATACATATATAAACAGAAAACACATACTTCATGTAAAACAGGAATAACAGGTGGATCATGTTGTTGAAGAAAAAATATCACCATTAATGGATAACAGTAAGATGGCAGTGAACATATTTGCTGCTGATCTATTTCACAGACCTAATTAAAATTATACATGCATTAATAATAAATTACCATTTAATCAATAATTTTACTTGCAAAAAATCTCACCTTTGCCCAAAATCTAAATATTATTCCTAATTTACGAACTCTCTCATCACAATAGGCGTAGTGGGCAAATAAACGACTGGTTTTCCCAGAAAATTCATTATTTAGTGTTATTTCACATGTCAGATTTGTTTGTCTATCTAAAAACGTTATCTTCGGAACAGCTGCAGTAAAATCTTTCCATACATTTATGTATTTATCTTCTGTAATAAGAAATTTCAACACTTTATATTTTGGCAAACATATCAAACTAATAATCTTTATGTTTACAAAATAATATAAATTACCTCTTTCCTTAATTATATCATATGTATTAAGGAGAACTCTGGATGGAGAAATTCCTTGAGGGACGGCAAGATCAATGTTTAAATTACTGTCTTTGAGACCGAACCCATTAACAGAGGAACCAAACAAATGAATTTCACATTCTGCAGAAAAACTTAATTTTAAATAAATAATTGTATATTATATCAAAAAATATTAACTATTTTAGTGCTATTATCAATACTGAATAACAAACATTTAATGATTTTTCTTTGACCAAATATATAACATAAATTAATATTTTACTTAAATTACATTAAATATTACTAAATTTTTTAAAGACAATTTCAGTAATCTTTTTCAAGAGATTCCAAAATAAAATACAGTATAAATATAAAATCTATCAATTTTGTTATGTGGACATCATCTGCTTAACATTTTACTGGTAGAATAATGCAAACATCTGTCTGATGCTTCTTAATTAATCTTAATTCTTAATTTGTTTATTACAAGTCTTATATTGCCTTTTTATTCATTTTTTGCTATTTATTGATATAGTGCCATGGTGGCCAAACTGCAACTTGCACATCACATGCAGTTCTTCTAGACTCTTATTGTGGCTCCTGTACAGTTAACAATTTCTTTTATAAACTTGAGACAGGCTACTTACACATGTAATATTATATAATTGCATGGAAGCTACAATAAGGGTCTAGAAGAGCTGAAATTTGACTACTGCAAATATAGTAATTCATTAACATTTTTAAATTTTGTACATTTAATTTTTACTTATTTCCATTACTCATTTTTTATTCTGTATTTTATATTTTCAAGATTTTATTATTTTGTTATTTCTATTGTTTGTTTGTACTTTAAATGGGAATTTGTTTAGTTGGAGTAATGATCTTTAGTTCATACAAACTTTACCATAATAAAGACTAAAGAATAAAATAATACATGTCTTAATTCTTTTAATTTCAAAATATATTTATAACGAAAATAATTTAAATTTGTTAGCATATTGCCTTTCTACATGAAAACTCTTTTTATTTTTGTTGCCCATCAGAAAATTAGCTATTCTGCACTAACTAACTAGATTAAAAAAATGATATCATACAAGATTTCATCTTCTGATATCTTTCTATAAACAAAATACATTGTCTCACTTGGTTATTTTCTGCTCATCTCATAATCAATTAGACAGGTCTCAATAACAATCAAAATACTAAACATTGTATCAATACTTTTTGTTATATTTGACTAGAAATATGATGGAAATTAAATGAGAGATCCAATATTCAAATAGTACCAGTTAATCTGATAGAATAAACAACTCAAAACGAATGACTCATGACAGAAAATGTAAAGTTTTAAATTATAAACATTAAATAATGTAAAATAATACAGCAGAGCGTCGTTTAACCAAAAGTCGATTATCCAAAAGAATTCCAGTCAGCAAATTTAAATTTTTGCTAGTGCTATAGCGCTGCAATTTTTGGCTATATCTTGGGCCACTCCAACATTTTTTTGTTGGTGTGTGAGTTTTAGCTGGCAGCACTGGCACTTTTGTGTAATGTTTTTCTGAGGACTGTGTGTCCTGCTGAATCAAACATTTTTGATACTAGATTAATTTCTAAAGTATAATTTTTTTTTGCTTTTATATTTTTCAATATATTTATTTTGTTTGTAAAAAATAAAGAAATAATTTTTAATGATACAATATCCATGATTATTATTTAAAAAAGTTTATGTTAGGCTTAACATAGAAGAAAATTCAACGCGAAGCGACACGCAATGGAGAAAAATTTCAACATGGATAAATTAATATATTACTTTCGTACATAATCAGTTATCCGAAAAACCCCAGTCCCCAATTGATTCAGATAAATGACACTCTACTGTATATATTTTGAGATATAAATTGTTTCAAAACCAAAAGAACTTTCAATACTAGAACTATAAAGGCAGCTCATAAAAATTATATAAAAATAACATAACAGTTCCCTATCACATGGTTCAACTAAATGCCTGCTTTACTGTGTGTTTCAATGTGTTTTAAACATTTCTGAACTGCAGAATTCTAAAATTTTTAAAATTGTTATTTGTTCTAATATTTAGAAAAATGTTTTTGCGTTATTTTATCCAATTTGCTCACTTAAAAGTAATGAAGTTATTCTATTGCAGTTACTGAAAACAAACTTAGATAAGTAGCATAAAAATATTTATTTCATAAATACTTTTGACCAACTTCAGATCAATGCAAAACATAAAATTGTAATTTCATTATAAATACTTCTTTAGTCTTTATTATGGTAAAGTCTGTATGAACTAAAGATCATTACTCCAACTAAACAAATTCCCATTTAAAGTACAAACAAACAATAGAAATAACAAATTAAAATTAAAACATATTTCTTTCATAATTTTACCATTGTAAATTATTTTATTAGTATGTAAAATAAATTATTAGTATATACAATAAATACAGCTAACCCAACAGTTATTTCAAATACCAAACAAACAACCAGATTTTTTACCAGCCTATACGACTACGTAATTACTAAGCAATTTGGCAGGAGGCTCATTGCCATCTCTTGATAAATATAATAAATTGAATTTAAAATAAATAAATTTATTATATTGGCATAAGGCAGTCTGGTGCCCTGCCTTCTGCTAAACTGCTTAGTAATTATTTTGCCTTATAGCCCACGTATCAGGTTGTTCATTTGGTGTAGCTAGTATATTTTATACAAAAAAAAAAAAAAAAAAAAAAAAAGTAAGATATGCCATGCACTTAGATGTTATTTTAAGTAAATTAAACATATGTAGTATTGATAAAATACGAGGGTGGATCAAATATACACGATAATTTTGCTAATCTGCTTACCATGCAGTTCCTAATTAGATGATGTAGAGTGAAGTTGATGTTTGGTTTGTGAGAAGTGGGGGAACTGGCTTGGTTAACAAGCACACTCAGTTCTGTCATCAGTACAGCCATGACTGATCAAAAGGTACATTTGTCTGTTGCTCAATGCATCACAATAAAGTTTTTAACTAATGAGGGCGTTAAACCCTTAGAAATTTTTAGTTGATTGAAGGTACAGTTTGGGGACAGTACACTGTCTCAGAATTGTGTGTATACTTGAACCAGAGAATTTAAAGGTGGGCAAGAACATGTTGAAAATGCAGGTCGTGATCAACACCCAAGGACGAATCTTACAGATGACAACATCCATTAATGGTATACTTGCTTACTGGAGAATAAAATCAATAAATATAAACCATTCAACTATCCAGCAAAATTCTTTAATAATTTAAAAACGTTTTCAAACGCATTAAGCGTTCATCTTCAGTTATTTCTCCATTCGAAATGTGAAATTCGAAAAATTACGCAACGGAAATTCCAAATAACGATTATGTAAAAAATTAAAAGGTAACGCGTTACAAATGAAAGTGCTATATACAAATATTCGTGTGCTCAATAAACAATAATAATAATAATAAAATAATAACAAAAAATAAAATAAATAAATAAATAAATCTATCAACGATCATCATAAGCCTGATTGAGCCTTTTATATGGATCTATGCCACTTCGTCGCAAAAAGATTTCCAAGCGGACGAAAGCCCGTCGGCATCTCTAAAGTTGATACACTGTGCGCTCTTCTGTGCCTTGTGGATTTCCAACTTTTCAAGGTATTTTACCGCGTGCCTAGATCTGGTGGCTTTTATTATAGAGGCCTGGTCCCAGAAAACAGTGATGCCTTGTTGTTTAGCATAAGCGGCAAGGACCGTGCTGTCTACCGTTTTGTTCACTGAAAGCTTATGCTCATTGATTCTTTTTTTCAAATTCCTCAAAGTTGCGCCTATATATATTAAATTAGAGTTGAACCTGTGGTCCCGTAGCGGTATCGAGTATATTCCTGTTAAGGAGTTGCGTTCATAATCCCCCTTGTCATTCCTTAACATCCTGTATATAGTGGGATTACGTCGATAAACTATCTGCAAGTTCTTACTTTTGGAAACCCTCTTGATAATTGGTTTAAGGAAAGGTATATAATCGATGACTATTCTTTCTTTTTGGTGGTTTTGCTTTTGCCTCCTTATAAGATTATTATCTTTCTTAATGAGGGCCTCTATTCTTCTTCTTCCGTAGCCATGTTGCGCGGCAGTACTTCGTATATATTGTAACTCCTTAACAGTATCGCAAACATTTGTGCAATGGGTGTGTGCTCTCCTTATCCAAGATCGAAATACCGCCATTTTAATATGCTCCGGATCCGCTGAATTCTTGGGGATAATGATGGGAATAGATGTCGGTTTACAATAAATATTGGTTCGGATTTCCCCTTTTATGCATGTTATAGTCAGATCCAAGAAATTAACACTATTACTCCCTTGTTGCTCCAATTCTAAGGTTAAACCATACGGGTTACTGTTTATCCGATCTACAAAATGCTTGATGTTGCGATTATCCTTCCACAAGATAAATACATCATCAACATATCTCGCATATATCAATATATCTTGTTGTAAGGAAGGGATGATACTGTTTTCTAGATTACGAAGTACTAATTCGCAGAGGACAGACGACATGGGGCTACCCATCGGTACTCCCCGTCCCTGTAGATAAGTATTATTTTCGAATTCAAAGAAAGATGTATGACAAATCAAGTCTACTAATTCCAAAATCTGTGTATGGTATTTGGTAGCGGCCCTTCCTTTGCACCGACACCACCGTTGCGTCCGGAAAACCTTATACCGAACGTTGAGACGCTCATAAAGGATATGAATTTAACTGAGCAAGATTATTACAGATGGAAAACAAGATTATATGCCGAGACGGAGAGATATTCTAACAAAAATGCTTTACGTTTCCAACGGCACATTAAGGAAGCGAAAGAATGGCTCCAAAAAAATGACGTTGTTCTCATAAAGGCTGATAAATCAAAAGGTGTTGTACTCATCAAACGGAGCTCATATAGAGAAAAACTGCATGACTACATCGACAGCACCGAATGTCTTCCTGCCCCGAGTAATTACCTGGAAGCCTTACAACAAAGAGTGAGAAAATTTACACTAACTCCTTTAGCCAATTATCTGGGTATGAGGTCTGCTACTTTACAAGCTCCTAGGACACCAAGAATTTTTGCCTTCGGAAAAACACATAAGCCTGGTTCGCAGTTACGGCCTGTGGTAGAAAAATGTAATGCTCCAACTTTCAGAATAGAAAAACGACTTGTTAAATTTGTACAAGAAAAGATGCAGGTTTCGCCTTTTTCGATAAAAAACTCATTGGACTTAATCCGGAAACTGGAAAATGTTGCGCTCATGAATGAGGAATGGATGACAGTGTTAGATTATAAGGCGTTATACCCGTCAATCAAGCTGCCTCCATGCTTTTGTGCTCTGAGAGATTTTTTGCTAATGTTAATAACCCTACCAAATACCATACACAGATTTTGGAATTAGTAGACTTGATTTGTCATACATCTTTCTTTGAATTCGAAAATAATACTTATCTACAGGGACGGGGAGTACCGATGGGTAGCCCCATGTCGTCTGTCCTCTGCGAATTAGTACTTCGTAATCTAGAAAACAGTATCATCCCTTCCTTACAACAAGATATATTAATATATGCAAGATATATTGATGATGTATTTATCTTGTGGAAGGATAATCGCAACATCAAGCATTTTGTAGATCGGATAAACAGTAACCCGTATGGTTTAACCTTAGAATTGGAGCAACAAGGGAGTAATAGTGTTAATTTCTTGGATCTGACTATAACATGCAAAAAAAGGGGAAATCCGAACCAATATTTATCGTAAACCGACATCTATGCCCATCATTATCCCCAAGAATTCAGCGGATCCGGAGCATATTAAAATGGTGGTATTTCGATCTTGGATAAGGAGAGCACACACCCATTGCACAAATGTTTGCGATACTGTTAAGGAGTTACAATATATACGAAGTACTGCCGCGCAACATGGCTACGGAAGAAGAAGAATAGAGGCCCTCATTAAGAAAGATAATAATCTTATAAGGAGGCAAAAGCAAAACCACCAAAAAGAAAGAATAGTCCTCGATTATATACCTTTCCTTAAACCAATTATCAAGAGGGTTTCCAAAAGTAGGAACTTGCAGATAGTTTATCGACGTAATCCCACTATATACAGAATGTTAAGGAATGACAAAGGGAATTACGAACGCAACTCCTTAACAGGAATATACTCGATACCGCTACGGGACTGCAGGTTCAACTCTAATTTAATATATATAGGCGCAACTTTGAGGAATNCAGTGCCGTATGTTTTGTGGTAGGTTGAACCAATTAGTTCAAAACCAGGAATCACACCTCTTGTCTGAAGTTGGTATTCATTCTCAGTATGAGTCTCTTGAATTACAACTATGTCAACTAAATATTTATATTACAACTATGTTATCCTTTAGGATTCTATGTAAGTATTTGCATTTTGCTTGACTAATGCCTTCAATATTAATTTGACATATCTTAAGTTGAGGACCAAGATCTTTGGTACTATGACCCTTAGAAGGGTCTTTGTAATGAGAAGACATAAGTAGTTTAAATAGTTAAAGAAAAAGATGTGTATTGTCCAGGAGATCCTACGGATTATTTGGACGCCAAAAGTTGCTAGCTCATTTAGTTCACGAACAGACGTTATCCAGGGTGCACCACGATGAGGCGAACTAGCTTTACACCCCAATATCATGAAAATGTATGTGACATAAGCAATATGTATATGCATATTACTTATGTCATGGTCAGTATAGACTTTCAATAAAAATGTGCAACAAAATGTTTCCATTTTTTAATCTTTCATGCAAAACTGAAATAAAAAACATTCTGTTCTATTTATAAAATTAAACTGTTGGTTTAGATAGCCAGTACAAGATGTTAAAGGTAAAACCATTTGATGCAGCATATTTGATTTGTCAAAAGTTTTAGAAATTTCGTAAAACTCGATTCACTTCATTTTAAAATGGGTATATGGGTGTCTGAGACACTGTATATGAAGAAAAAGTTAAAACAAATTGAAACTTATTTTACTCACATGATAATTACTCTGGGACATAGTAACTATAGTGTTGTTCAAAGTATTTCCCCATGGAATTCAATGCAAATCTTCCATCATTTCTGCCTGAAGCCCATATTTATTAGCCCATACTTTGAGACATTCTTCAGCAATGTCACCAATGCTTTGACTATTGCTGTTACTGCTGCACTAAAATGAAGTTACAAGAAATGGGTTTCTTGTAACTTCATTTTAGTGATGAGAATAGAAGTCACAGGATTCTGGTTTGAGCTGTGAAGTGGATATGAAGTGCAGAAGTGTTATCTTGGTCAAAAATTTAGTTACTGCATAACAATGTGTGAGTGTGCATTGCCATTTTGTTGTTGGCAGGTTGTAAACAATACTTGCTTTACACTATGTAGCAGTCAAGAAAAGCATCATATATTTGTTCAATTTTTGGACAGATAAATTGATAACCATTCTTTAGTGATATAGATGGAGAATTTATTACTGCACTTCTTTTGATAGGAAAAAATTCATTCTTGATTTGTTTTTACCTGTATACATACATAGAATTTGCTTGAATTTTAAGGAGTTATCATCATATAATTATGTATATATTTTTTTTGTTTTTTGCAGTGGTACACCAGATAATCCTACAGCTTTAGATTTAAGTGTTGCAGAATCTGCTCTTGTTTTGGGAGAAGACTATCAGCAGATGGTTCAGCAAATTATGGAAATGGGTTATGAAAGAGAACAAGTAGAAAGAGCTTTAAGAGCAAGTTATAATAATCCTGATAGAGCTGTAGAGTACTTGATTTCTGTAAGTTCTACTAAATTTTGCACTCTATTTCATAAGTAATAACTTGCATAATAATATGCATAAGTCCAAGAAACTCAATACAATACATTGTTTTCTAACTAAAAATATAAAGCCAAAATAAGTTTACTGTAATAAAAACATATAGTAAAATTTCTCTAACTCAGACATCTGTAACTTGAATATTTCTTTAACTTGAAGAAAATGAAGCACTTGGTAGGTCTCATTAGAATAGCATAGGGCAAAGGTGGCAAACCTATGGCAAGTGTGCCCAAAGTTGCATGTAAGGAGAAATCATCTGGCACATAACATGTTATATGATTTTGATTTATTAACTTTTTCAATCATCCTTTGGTTTATCACTGATCATCCTTTTATCAATCAGCTTTTTACATTTATTCTAATTAAAGCATGTTTGTGTAATGATATTTAAATAAATTAAACAAAGTCTAAAATTTTGGCAAACACAAACATTTTTAAAGCACACAGGCTTAAAAATATTTGCCATCTCTGTCATAGGGATTTAATATTGCCAACTTGAATTTTCTTCAAGTGAAAGGTTGACCCTTGGTCATGGTCCCTTGACATTGATCTATTGGGTTGCAATTTGAAAAAATTGTAGAACTATAAATTTCCACTGTTGTCAACCTGTCTCTTTCCTTAATTTCAAGAATGGAGTTGGAGGCACTGATTAACTATATACAAACTTCTGATGCAAATCAGAAGTCATGTTATTTCAATTCAAAAATTTTTCCCTGAAAGAAGTTAGATAGATGACTGGCATGACTATATTATAACAGGAAAAGCATGATGTACATGGGCAAGACACTACTAATTTGAGGTAGAAAGTATGTATTTCAAATTAAATAAATTAAAAATATTATTAAAAATTGCAGCCTGGCATTGTGATGATGTTACAGTAAGTTGCTCATGTTACTTTCAACTTCTGTGACTCAAATTTTAATATTCTGTTTGAAGTTATTCTAATTATTGTATTTACATGAAATTTTCATAGACATTTAGTTATTGTCCAAAGCCCATTTGCTGACAGTGTTCCAGTCCAAAGTGAGATGACCTTTTTGCTTTATTCAACAAGATATACCTGCAAAACTTCAATTCCATCAGCTACATTGAATATTTTGCCAAAAGGCATTACACATTTTGTTTAAATGTTTAAAACAAAACTATCAAAGACTTCTTTATATAATGAAAGAGAAGTAAATTGTTCAGAATTGATGATATACTTGCTTACTGGAGAATAAAATCAATAAATATAAACCATTCAACTATCCAGCAAAATTCTTTAATAATTTAAAAACGTTTTCAAACGCATTAAGCGTTCATCTTCAGTTATTTCTCCATTCGAAATGTGAAATTCGAAAAATTACGCAACGGAAATTCCAAATAACGATTATGTAAAAATTAAAAAGGTAACGCGTTACAAATGAAAGTGCTATATACAAATATTCGTGTGCTCAATAAACAATAATAATAATAATAAAATAATAACAAAAAATAAAATAAATAAATAAATAAATCTATCAACGATCATCATAAGCCTGATTGAGCCTTTTATATGGATCTATGCCACTTCGTCGCAAAAAGATTTCCAAGCGGACGAAAGCCCGTCGGCATCTCTAAAGTTGATACACTGTGCGCTCTTCTGTGCCTTGTGGATTTCCAACTTTTCAAGGTATTTTACCGCGTGTCTAGATCTGGTGGCTTTTATTATAGAGGCCTGGTCCCAGAAAACAGTGATGCCTTGTTGTTTAGCATAAGCGGCAAGGACCGTGCTGTCTACCGTTTTGTTTACTGAAAGCTTATGCTCATTGATTCTTTTTTTCAAATTCCTCAAAGTTGCGCCTATATATATTAAATTAGAGTTGAACCTGTGGTCCCGTAGCGGTATCGAGTATATTCCTGTTAAGGAGTTGCGTTCATAATCCCCCTTGTCATTCCTTAACATCCTGTATATAGTGGGATTACGTCGATAAACTATCTGCAAGTTCTTACTTTTGGAATAATTTTTCGAATTTCACATTTCGAATGGAGAAATAACTGAAGATGAACGCTTAATGCGTTTGAAAACGTTTTTAAATTATTAAAGAATTTTGCTGGATAGTTGAATGGTTTATATTTATTGATTCAGAATTGATGTTTTTTACTCTATTGTTCTCTAACTTGAATTGTCTGTAACTCAGTTTTTTTCTACCCTGTGGAACTTCAAGTTAGAGAAGTTTTACTGTATTTAGAAAACGTACTGATTTTTGATTTACTCCTGATTATAAAGTCAACTAACAGTGCCCACTAAATTAATATTTTTGTTGATTTAATGCATACTAAATTCATAAATTTTTATACTTAATATATGACAGTAAATTATATATTTAAGATTTTAAATGTAATAAAAATATCAAACTGTATTTCAGGGAATTCCTACAACTTACCATGAACCACAAGGAGAAGAACAAGCCACACCTACTCAGACTCCAGCTAGTAATCCTAGTACAAATCCAAGTCAGTCAGAAGGTAATACTAAAAAATAATGATCACTTTAAATATTTTTATTATAGCATTAATAATATATGCAAAACTTTTTTAAAATTAAATTTGAATATTTTGAATATATGATATGTAACATTTCTATAAATTATTGTGCAGTAATGTGGAATATTTTAAAATTTATGTAAAACAAAAATAATACAGAACAAGTAAAACGGCAAGGCCGTATTTGAGACAAGACTATGTCTTGGAGACTCATTACTAAGTAGAATCACTTTGATGCTCAAGGCAGGTCTCATCCTCATTCTCCAATCTCCTTTCGTATTGTTGGTTTTGAGTGCAATCTTTCAAACTTCACTGGCCACAACCACGAGGCCATCCATGAGGCATTTTCGGTGAAATTAACCTATCCAATTTTGAAATTTTTCTCTGTTGCATGTTGCCCTGGGTTGAATTTTTGTTTGATGCCTAACAAAAATTTCTTGTTTTTGAAAAAAGTAATCCTGGCTATTGTATCGTTTGAAATTAATTTTTATTTTGCACAAACTATATATATATATATATATATTAATAAATGTAAAAAGAAAACGAATTATATTTCGGAAGTTAGTTTTAATATAAAATTATAATGACTAGCACCATCTACTTTCAAAAAAATGTTATGATGATGAAACGAGATATCTCGGGTCAACTAGTCAAGGTCATCACATGGCAACCAGAGATAAGTCGAGAATAACAAGTAAATGGGTTTTTTTTCAAAGATTTGTTTGTCAAAATTCAATTTCTCATTTCGAACACCCCAACGCACGCGTTTGTCAAAATTCGATTTCGCAACATTTGCATTTCCAACTTTCCAATGAGCAACGCATGAACAAATCTCGCACTACTGCCTGTTTGTAGAGAGTGTTGCCATTTTGAATTTTATTTTGACTCAATTCTCGGTCCCAAGAGTACCTACAAGTCTGTTTTTTTTTTTTTGTGTGTGCATGATTTGGGCACCTAATACTCTGGGCCAAATTGCAACTCCTGACATGTACTCCTTCATACCTCTAAGCTGGTAACACAGCAGGCAGTACGATTTTATAAACAAGACCTAGTCTTGTCAATTATTAATATTAATTCTATGTATTTTTTACTGTTAACATCTTTTAGGGTCTAAATTCACCAACTTTTTTTTCACTTAAATTTTTTGCTTTTATGAAAGTTTAAGTAATTATCAATAATAATTAATAATATAGCAAAAAAAAAGTAAAAAGATCTTAAATTTGTAAATTGTATTATTTCTTATTATTTTTTATGCTGTGTTCAGAAAGTTACTGTATCAGTTCAATAATGGAATTTATTTATTTTTGTTGAATAGTTGGACATTCAGTACTGAATTGTCCAGCTAGTTTTATTAGATTAACACATTCTATCATGGAATGGTATTAAATTATTGGTTCTCTGTTCAAATTCACAACTTCTATTGTTGGAATCATCATCAAAATTTTTTAAAACATGATTTAAAAAGTAATAAAGTTTCATAGTTACAAAGTTTAGAAACCTTATACATCTATCTTGCTTTTATGCAGTGGATACATTTCAAAGAACACCATATGAAACAAAAATTGCATACATTACAGTACATCCTGTAGAAAAATGCTTTACAGGATCCACAACTTTAATGGAACAAAAAATAAGAAATTTACAAAACCAACACAAGCTTTTTTTTATTCTAACATCATTTATCATTAACATTATTTGTATGTAAATGTAGCAAATACAAGGTAGCACAGGAAATATAAAATCAATATACAGTAAGTATTATCTGATGTACAGTACATATAGTACTGTACTGTTCTTAAAAAAGGATAAATGAACTCTTGATTTCAACGAAAAGAATAACTTTTTTAACAATAACACAATTTTAACAAAAAATTAAATTTTAAAAATTTTCAAATAAACTGCTATTTTCCTGTGTAAACAAAAATCAGTTGTGTAATTTTATTCATCAATTGTTATTTCAAAATTACATTTAAAAAAAGGTGTTTATATATACATTGTGTGTGTGTAGTTCAGACTGCGAACAAATCGTGCAGTGAACACTTGTGAAAGATTTTATGTTCAGGCAAGAAACACATTTGTATAACAAACACGTGACAGAACAAATACAAGAAAGAGACACATTTAAGATTTGTAAAACTATATTTTAATGGCATCTATACATGGTTTGTGGAATGAGACTTTCACAGTTGTACACATAACCTGTTTTGCAATAGTTAATTTCTGTTCTCTGAATTTTTGTAAGTGCTTTTTTGAACTTATTTAAAAAACTGATGATAATATGGGGCCTAAAAAGAGTAGTGTCAAGAACAATGTTCACTATATAAACTAAGCAAGAGATAATAACCAAGGTAGTGTGGGCAGATATCTGATGTTACTAGGCAGTATGGTTTTGACAGCTTTACAGTAGGCACAATCTTAGCTAAGAAAGATATAATAAAAAAGACTCAAGCAGATAAAAGAGTAATGAAAATCACATCTGAGAAACAAAGACGTGCCATCCATGAAAAAATGGAGAGATTACATTATATAATTTGTTTATTTATTTTTTGGAGTCTCCAGAACAAAATCAAATTCCTGTAAAAATGTATGGTAAATCATTAATCGGTTAACAGACAATTTGGATAGCAAACATTGTCTTTGAATGGATTATTTTTGTTAACCAATAACCCACAACTATGTGTTTGCATGTGTGTGTGAAAACAAAATACAATGTGTGTTACTGTAATATGCTTTTTGGCATTTATTTTGTTAAATTTGAATTAGATTTGATATTTCATCATCATTATAATTTACAATATATTCAGTGCTTTTATTATTGGTATATTTTGTATATGACAATTACAGGTTTTTTATTTTTTATTTATAGAAGTTATTAGCAATACTATCACCTTGTAGTTTTTATCATTTGCATTTAGCTTTGAATGTAATGATCAGAAATACAGGGTAATTTGAAAAGAATTGATTATTTTCAAAAAGTTTTTTCAGCAGCTAAGTTTTATATGAACATATACATCAAACTGTATAGGAACTTTCACAGATTTTTATTAATCTTACACTGGCCAATAGATACCTGTTATATCACACACTGTAGACCGGTGGTTCTAAAACTTTTTAGGATTTCTTGTGTATCTCTTTACAATTTTTTAGGTAGCTTGCAGACCCTTTAAAATTAACTACATAATTATATACTTTAAACATTAGCCTATATACTTAAAATTAACATATAGGCTACTGTTACCAAAACATTTTTTGACAAACAGTTATTTATTCAGAAAATGGCAAATCTTAGTCATTAAATATACATTCAATGGGATGGATGCATCTGCTTTGCCTGAAGTGATCCTTTCACGGTTTCCCTGAAACCGTTTTGCAGTTCTCTAGAGAACCGTGGACCCCAGTTTGAGAACCACTTCTATAGACCATTCCTAAACCATCTGTGATTAATAACTTCAAGCTTGCCTGGAAGAGGTGATATGAATATGAGATCCTTGACATCTTCCACAAGAAAGTTATGTGATGTGATTATTGAAATTTGCCTGGTGATTTTTCTAAAAGTAAGTTTGTTTTTGGACATACTCAATCTAGCACCTTAGCAGATGCTCATTGAAGAACTTTTCTACAGTGCAGTGCAGTAGATATATGATCCCTGCCATTGCAGTCTGTATCAAAATAAATGGACTTGAAGATTCCTGTGTGCATTGTGGCACAAAAAACATTAACTTTTGGAATGTCATTTTTCAAATTTGATTATTTATTAAATAATAACTTTTTGAAAGTGTTCACTTTTTGAGTTACCCTGTATTAAGAGTCATTATACATCATATTTAAGTTTCTAAAGTAACATTCTTTTTGATAAAATATATTTGATTTTAATGCAGTAAGTAAACGAAATATTAAAATATTTTAAAATTTCGTATGTAGTGAAATATCAGCTAAATTGGTTTGCATTTCAGACTAATAAATCATACACAGGATGATCTGAAACATGCATAAAATGATTAATACTAAATTCCTTTCAGAATATTAAAAAAAAAAAAAAAACTTTTTCAAACACCAATACTAGTTCAATATTATAACAAGGTTTACTAATATGAACATTTTTGTCTGTTTAATTGGTATTGGTGTTTGAGTAAGTTTTTTTTAATTAAGTACAGTAGAGCATCGGTTATCTGAATGTCAATCAACCAAAACGTCAATTAAATGAACACTTTCCAGTTGGAAAATTTAAATTTCAGCTAGTGCTATGGCGCTGCAATCTTTGGCTATGTCTTGGGCTACTTCAATATTATTTTTGTTGGTGTGTGTGTGTTTTAGCTGGCAGTACTGGCACGACCATGAGAGGGTACTTAAGGACATGCCAGGATTTGAACAAATTTCAACATGGAATAGGTTTAATATATTTTTTTGTACATAATCGGTTATCCAAAAAATCAATTTTCCGAACAATCCTAGTTCCCAATTGATTTGGATAATTGATGCTCTACTGTATAACCAATTTTTAGAATGGAGACTGCCTTTCAGAATTTTTTTCTTTTTTGCAAATGTTAAAAAATTTTGTTTTTAATAAATGGTATAGTGTGTGCTGTTTTCCTCACATTCAAGAATGCATTGCAGGAAGTTCAACCAATTTTGTGTAAGCCATTGTCAGAGAATTCCATGTTGCCTTTACTGTGGCAATTAACTTCTCTGTTTCCTGATTGTGATTATTGGAACACTGTCTTGAAGCCCTACCCAGACATGCTCAATCATATTTAAGTCTGGTAAAATCCCAGGCTAATCCTTCCATACCTTTTCAAAAGTTTCTCTCAATGAAAGAAATGATTTCTTTTGGTTTCTTGTAATATTGTCCATTGACAGTAGTCTTTTCGTCAATGATATACAGCAGCAATTATCATCTTGAATGACATCTTTGGTCTAATTGGAGTCTGTACAGATATTGCCTGATCATATTCTTTGGTTTTACTGATTAGGTTGAGGGTGAAGTTCAGTTGGACTTTCATCATTAAAAAGCACATGAATACTTGTCATTCTCCCAGAGATGTGTCTGCTGTATAACTTTCATTCATCAAACATTGACCAAACTTCTGATGATAAGTAATTTTTTTTTTTAGTCAGGAGTAGCTTTATTGACTCTTTATATGCAGTATTTTTTTTTTCTCCCACTCAGTGGATTTCACTTAGTGACCAATAGTGGTGTTACTTAGCCTTGTTCTGAAAATGTTCAGAGAAGTTCAAATTTTGGTGCTGGACTGAATTCCTATTGTTACGTACTTAATTAATTTTTCTTTTTCCACAGGTTAAACAGCAGATAATAGAAATAACCACCAAATGTGATACCTAAGCAGTTTAGAAAACAACTTGGCTAAGACTTCTCCAAAAAAGACATGCAGGACTAGCCAGTTAAAATAAGAGGACATGTCCAATTTATTTATTTATTTATTTTTTGGAGAAAACCTTAGCCAAGTTGTTTTCTATGCTGTTTTGGGTGTCACATTTAAAAGTGAGTTCTACTATTCGTGTTATTTGATCTTTCTTTTGCCAATTTGTAGATCATTTCTTTCTTTTGTCTACAGAATCATCTTGGTAGGACAACCACTTTTCTCTGTTATAGAACATATTAAGCACACTTTCTGGCAATTTATGAGTGGTTTTGTTAACTCCTGAGCTTTTTTTGAAATTGCATTTATGGAGAAGCCATTAGAAATCAAAGCTTGGATCTGCAATTGAATATACATCTAGTAGACATATCTGGAAATAATTGAATTTAAAAACAAGTTAAAAATCATTATCACTAAGTGATACATAATGATTTTAAAAATACAACTTTACAGCATGCATATCTAGAAATTAAGCATAGAAAAAAATTGCAGCAAAGTTTCTCTCCATGGGAAAACAGCCTATCATTTCTATACCAGAAAACTACATGAAATTAAGTAAGCACAGTAAGAAGCAAAGCCAATAGACATCAATTTTCCATAAAATTTTCAAAAAATGTTAGCAATCACTTGGTCTATATAAAAGAGACATTAAGAAAAATTAGTCTTTAAAATCAGCACTATAAAATACATGATTCTTTTGGAAGCTAACACCACAACCAGAAACGGATGGGAAAGGTACCAATTGTACCAGACAGGAAGGAGTGTTACATATGACAAAGTGCATACAAAATTTGAAACATGAAAATAACTAATAACAATAGAGGAATGCATTGATGTAGAGAAACCTTCTAATCACCCTGTAATATTCAAAATAAATAAATATCTTCCAGTATATATAAGGTTATGTTATAGTGCCTAATGCCTAACTCTAGTGCCAAATTGTCTTATAAATTATATATACATTGGAGTAATTAAAAACAAATTCTGAAAATAATATTTGTATATTAAATGATTTGATATTGTAATTATATTTAAACATAATTTTTAAATAAAAATTATAATAGATATGGTATATTTTAGGTGATCCATTAGCATTTCTCCGTACTCAACCACAGTTTCAACAAATGAGGCAAGTTATTCAAGCAAATCCACAACTGCTAAATGCAGTTTTACAACAAATTGGTCAAAACAATCCACAATTGTTGCAATTAATTTCACAAAATCAAGAAGCATTTGTGAGGATGTTGAATGAACCATCATTAAGTAGTACTGGCAGTGGTGCTTCTGAGCAGACAACTGGTGGATCTGGTGGTGGTGGAAGTGGTCCTGGAAGTGGGGCTTTAGGACAGAGTGCTGGATTACCTTTCGAAGCATCCATGGGTCAAGTGACACCTCAAGATAAAGAAGCTATTGAACGGGTATGTGAAGTAATCTTTATTATATAAACATTTTGAAAATTAAATTCTAAATTTATCAATTATAAATCATTTTAATTATGAACAATTATATTATTATTTATTTAAATTTGATAAATTAAAAAAATATATTTTTATAAAAATTAAATTCAGTAAAAACTAACAAGATTACAGTTAAGAATAAAAGTTATCCTTTTTTGGAAATAAAATATCACAAATTGAACATATAGTATTAAATAATTAAATATGTTTAATCACCTGATATTTACAAAGATTTGTGAGTAGAAACACAAGGAGTATTTGACACCATTATAAGTAACTGTCACTGCTTAACCACTCATCAGTGAGGGATGGATATATATCCATCTAGGGCAATTGTGTGGCAGTGATGCGGGATGGATGTATCTGTTAAGTTCTTTTGGGGGTATTGCCAAAAATAGCCAAAAACTATTGCAAAAAAGTCACCTAAAAAATGAATTATGTAACAATAAAAAAAGACTTTTCTTTACTAGACATAACTGTTTACAAAATTTTTTCTGAAACAGTAATGAGAAAAAATGTGCAGCAAAATACTTTTAAAATTTAACATGTTTATTCTCCATTACTTTGGAATAGCACCAAATCTGACTATTCCACTGCTGAAAGTAAGTATAACATTAGCTCACTATCATTTAAATTAAAAATGATAACTGGAAACTGTTTGTATTACAGAATAGAGGCATTTTTAAAGTGGAAGGAGACTAAATATTAAGGTCTTGGTTTATGCAAAAATATTTTAAATTTTTTATGTTCATAAAGGTTTGTTTAAAAACAATTTATGACAAGTGCTTTATGAAAAAAATTTCAAGACCCGAGTGCACTTAGAAGTGAATACAACAAAATCTTTTAAGATATTAATCTTGAGACTGAATTATTTTAGTTCTCTTTATGTAACTACATAAAAGAATTAAATTTTGGCCTTAGAAGTTAAGAATTAACCATGAACTATTTTTGCTATTTAGTTTCAAATGGTCTCCCTCAAATCCACAATAAATAATGTTCTTGATTTTAAATATATTTTTTTCAATATATAGCAGGTGAACCTAGAAAAAGCACTGCCTGCCAATTTACTATCATCAACTCTGATTTGTGGTTAGAGATGCCATGAATATTTGGCTACTATTTGGTATTCAGTCTATTCGGCTACTTTTTTAATATTCGGTATTTGGCTGAATGTAGCATACTATTCGGCCGAATACCAAATCATGAAAAAAATGCACATATTACTCAAAAACGTATTTATTTTAATCACAAATTATTACATTTAATACTTAAAATCTATCAGTGGTAAGTTTATGATGAATGAAAACAATTTTTTGAGCATTTGTTGATAGCAAAGGATTGCGCTTTTCCTCATAAACTATATCTGCTTCTGAAAATAGCCTCTCACTATATACACTGCTGCCAGGAGACGATAGATAAATCTTAGTGAATTCTGTCAGCCTTGGATACTGTTTTGTGTTTGCTGACCACCACTTGTAAAGGTCTGCTGTCCGATGTAGGTGAATAGTTTTCATATAAAGTGATACAAACAGTGATATGTTTTAGTAATAAGGACTATTAGTAACACAGTTTGATGTAACAATGAACAAATAATGCATGTCATGACACGATCTACTCGCAAATAAAACAAATGTGCCCATGGTGTCGCTACCACACCTGCTGCAATGAGACAGGTCGTCACCTGTCACCCAGGCAATGTACACATATTTTGTCGAACATTTCACACTTTGGCCAAGAGCGTAGCCGAATATTCGGTATTCGGCAAAATCACTATTTGTGGTATTGCCAAACTTTTCACGCTACTCACAAATCTTTTTATTTAATTACCCGATACAATTGTACTATAATTTTTAAACAGCTATTGAATTCTATGAGAATAAAAAGCTAATTTTTAATTTTTAGAAATATTTTTTTACATTGATATATTAGGGGTTATATAGTTAAAGACTGTACTAAAACTTTTCAATTGCATTTAGAATGAGTTTTTTTCATCATGAAAGATTTGTCTTATTTTTAATTATGAAATGAATTAACTTAATATATTTGATATGTTATCTATATTGAAAAAGCTACTGAAGATGGTCTTGTGTTATTGTTTAGTTTACTTATAATATTAAATAAAGTGAATTTTAGAATTTAAAACAAAGTTTATGTAAATTGAAATTGAAAAAACAGAAAATAATCTATATTATTTGGTATATAATATGTTAATAGTCTAATATGTTAATAGCTAAGGTTATCATATGATTTTAAAAACAAATGGCAGTTGATATTTACCTGACTATTAGTTTTTCTGGATTCTAAGAAATAAAGATAATGTATCTGCTCCGACTATATAACTATTCAAAATAGTATCCATCATTTTTAATATAGAATTGCATGTGGTGGTACTAATCACAGAAGCAATGAGACAATTTTTTTTGCAATAGCTTTGACATGCTTTTCATAACCAGCAATAGCCTATTTAAGAATCCCAAAATTTTCCTTAACATTTGGGAATAGTCATATAAAACCATATCCGAGTTATTTAGTGGATGGCTAAGCAGTCTTACTTTAATAATGATTATTTGCAATGCACTAACCACAAATGTGGTTAATATGTTATTGCAGCACAAGATTACTCAGAATCTGAATTTCAGTTGCCTCTCCACAAGCATTTGAACAGTTATGAGCAACCTGTGGCCTTCAGGCCACATGCAGCCTATGAGATCCTAATATGCAGTCCCTGGGTTTCAGCAACATAATTTTTTAAAGCTTTTAATTGGAAATGCTTTAGGCTCATTTCAGCCAACCTCAGCCAAAAAGACATTACAAACTTTTATAATGTGACTTTTTAGACTTTCAGATTGTTATAAATTAACAGTCTGTTCCTTTTATTTAAATATTTGTTCTATTTGCACATTCATTTTATATTTATGTTATATTCTATATTATAAAAGTTTGTAATGGCTTTTTGGCTGAGATTGATTCAAATGAGCCTGAATTGTTTTCAATTAAAAGTTTAAAGAATTTTTTGTTTCCGTAATTTCTATAACAAGCAGGAAGAAGAAACACATTTAAAAAGGTGCCAAGTTTCGGAGACTGTGTATATATATTGAATAATTCTAATGCTTTGATGTAAAAAAGAAAAGTTATAAAATATCTTTTTAAAAAAATTCATTTGATTATAGCTTTAAAGATACACCAAGTTATTTTTTAATATTAATATATGTATTAAGAATTATAATTATCATCAAAGAAAACAAATTTTTGTTTCAATTTGTATTCTTAATGGTATGGATAATTAGTTTTTGTTTCAATTTGTATTCTTAATGGTATGGATAATTAGTTTTTTCAAAATGTTATTTATGTCAATAATAATTTTTCTGTTTTCCTTTTTACAGTTGAAACAACTAGGTTTTCCAGAGTACCTCGTCATACAGGCATACTTTGCTTGTGATAAAAATGAAAACCTTGCTGCGAACTTCCTTTTGTCGCAGAATTTTGATGATTGACCTTAAGTGTTTCTTCATGTGTGCAACGTATATAAAAAAAAAATGAAATGAGAGAATAAAAATAGATTGTTTTTTTAATTGTTGCTCATTACAGGAAGAATATATTTAGGCTTAAATGTTCTTGCTGTGATCTGTCCACTGGTGATTATTGAAACACCAGTCTATGTAATATGCCTTAATTTTTGAAAGGCTACAAAGACTTGTTACATGAACACCAGGCCATTTGCTAACCACAGCTAGTAAGAGAACAGTGAGCTCAAAATTATAAAATAAATGCAAATTTTTTCCTCTAAGCTGAAGTAGAATTTAAAAAAAATTCTGTAGAAAATGAGATACTCTGGGGCTTTGTTAAATATAAACATATTTCAAAATTATTCTTGATCTTTTTATATTAAAATTGAAGATTTATTCCCATGTTTAAAATATAACTGTAGTTATATGCTTGCACCATTAATAACTTGTGTTGGGGTGGCTAAATAAGAGTTTTCACTGTTGTCATTTCTGCAGTGGAAAGTTAAATTTATGGTTTTTGTTGTCAAGCCTGCAATAAAAAATACATCAATGTATCTGCTTTGTTAATATGTCATTTCTCTTCTTAATGATACTTTATTTCAAAAATATATATTGTATTTTCCTTAGAAAAATAGCAAATTCTTTAATTATTTTTTAAGCAAAGCAATTATACTGCTATTCATCAAACTTCCTATATTTTTTTTCTACATTTTTTTAATCTGACATTTTTACTTTGATATATTTTCTGTAGTATGAATTCATAAATATAAATAATCATTAAATTATTTCCTAAACATTAAGATGAATTTTTGAACTTCATTCTGACAAACAAAAATTTCATTTTTATAATGTAAAATATTCATTATACAGACAATATGAAAGGCATTAGTTTACTGACCGTCTTTTATTAATTTGTAATGAATGCCATATTTTGTTGATTAGAAAATTGATGGGTATATAAATAAAAACAGATATGTACTAGTTAAATGTGTAAATTTTATTTTCAGTAGTTTTAAAGGGTTTAACATTAAATTGTTAAAATTATTTTTCTATGCTAAATTTAAAATTATACATACATAAAATTATATATCGAGTAACTATTATATAGATTAAAAATTTTATGAGTTTCAGTTTTAATTTTGTTTATTAATAATCAGTAATGATCTTAAAAATTTTGCTTGAGTATCTTTTCAGATAAAATTTTATCATTTTAATTAAGTCACCATAAAATTAAATAGTCAAACCTTGATATAACACCTTATTTAAATAGTACTATTTCCATAAAATATTAATATATAGTGAATATGTGTCCTCTTTATAAATATTAGATAAAAGAACGCTTTAGGTAACTGTGAATTAATAAATGTTCAATTTTATATTGCAAATACAACATTGTTATCACCAAATCATGTAACTTTCAATATATAATTTTCAATGTTGATTCTTCAATTTAGGGCTAATATCATACATGAAATTAGTGCTAAATCAAGGTTTGATTGTATTCAGTAAATAACTAATAGTAGTTTATTTGATACTGAAAAGAAATCAATCAATAATTATATACAATCAATTATATTGACTGTCAAAAAAATTGATTTTGAATACATCTTGATCTTGATGATGAAAAGCAGAAATATAAAAATTGCAAAAGAATGTCATTAAATTTATGGATAAAAAAGTTTAATGACCATTTGTTTTGCATGTTTTCTATTTGTGCTTGACTAAATTGAAAAATTTTAGTAATTTTGTGAAATTTACCATTTATAATAATAATTTTGGCTCACAAATACTGTTCACTCAAAAATTATATTAGTTTATGAAATGTTATAAATATATAAGTAAATAATTATTTGATTTTCAGTATATGTCAGTCAGTATTTGATGAAAAATGTTTTAATAAAACAAACTTTGTGGGTTTAAAGTATTTAAAAAAATATTTTTACATTGCATATTAACATTCAAATAGTTATGAAATAGTACATGCAAGTATTACTATGGTAAATTTTTAATTTTCACATAAAGTAACATTGCATAAACTTTGATAACTATTTCAAATGCATATCAAAATTTTAAAACCATAATTATTTAAAAAAAAATACATATGACTATAAATTATTTCCATAACTTTTTGACTACTTAAGATGCTTTCTTTTGATAATTTTTTACACTTTTGATACTATTGACTCCATCATTAACATTCAGACCTAAAACGTAAGCCTGCTAATAAAGTTTAAGAAATTGCCACATATGATTAAATGTTTTTTAGGATGATATATAGCTTGTTATCAGATCAAAATCTAATTTTGATCTGATGACATAAGTTGTCTCAAGAAATATTTAATTTTAATAAATGACTTCTTGAACTCTAAATAACTTAAGACTACTAATAAAAAAAATCAGTTTTGTGATTTAAAAAATTTAAGAATTAAAGCATTTTCACTTATTTTCAATAATTGATTATTCAATAATAATTAAAATCAAAAGTTTCTCAAACTTTAAGTTGAGAAAACCTATAGTTTTGCTTGAAAAGTAATGCTTTCAGATCCATAGAACAATAAATGATAAAACTGGAAAATAATTAAGTACAATTCAGTAACTTTGTCAGTACAGCAGGGTAAAAAATGCCATTTGAAAGTTTTCAGCTTACACCATAACTATAATAGACAGTTGAGTTTATAATACTGTCAATTATAGTTTGTTCTAAGTTTTGCGTAAAGAGTTGATTGACCAAATAGGTGTGAAAACATTTTTCAAATAAAACTGTTTTCTCGACTTGGAACAAAGTTCAAAATTTAATAAATAAACTGCTAAGTTTCAGACAATTCTTGTTAGAACAAATTAATAATGACATGACCTTGCATGACAATAGTGATACAGGAAATCCTTGTTAATTTGAAATTCCGTTAGTTTGTAAACTTACTTTTGTCTCAGCCAGGGTATAGAGATTTAAATGTTAAGGAATTTGGTTAGTTCAAAATATGGTTTCTTTATAATTTGAAGTGAAAATTTGCTTGAACTGTGATATGCATATGTTAATTTGTTCATTTAGATCAAAGTGCTTCCATACTAAAGAGAACAATAGACGAAGAACAACTCTAATTTGGCCAATATGGCTTTGCTATTACAGTAACATATTTTTAGTATCACCCTTACCCATGGACTACCCTTTTTCCTCTTGTATCTCATAAAATATGGTTGATTTTTAGGATTGCAAGATTGGGCTATGAGTAGCAGATTGAGATATTTGTAGTGGCTACAGGCTTTTTGGACTACTTTAAAAATAATTTGGGCTACATTAGAGGAATTCTGTTTTACTTATTATAAAACCTATCTGGCAGCCTGAGAGGGTCTCACCAGACACATACTGTTTATCTGCAGTTTACTTTTAATATTATTAATAAAAAATAGCATTGTGTATTTGTAGCTGTATTCCATTTGCTTAATAAATTACATTAGTTATGTGGCATTTGGTATATTGTACAGAAATATGTAAATCTTGGATATTTTGAAACTCAATAATTCAAAGTTGTGATTATTTTGTCCCTTGAATTTTGAACTAATGAGGATTTCTTGTAATACAAAATATATTGCTTGACCTTGCTATTTATTATCTCATTACCATAGTATACTATAATATGTGGGTGGTTTGGAAAGTTCTCAGAATCACATAAAAAAAATGCAAAATTTGGTTGAATTGTTTATTTTTCAATATAATCTCTTCTTAGAATAACATTCTTATTCCAGTGGTGTTCCAATGTCTTCACTTCAGCATTAAAAGCCCATTCGTTCAGTTCTGCAAAATAGCTATTCACTTCTGCAATGACCTCTTCATTCATGTGAAATTTTTTACCTGCCAGTATTTTTTTCAGGTTTGGAAAGAAGGGAAAGTCACTAGGAGCCAAGTCAGGAGAATATGAGGATGGGAAGGGATTTGGAATGAAGGTTGGCAAGTTTTTCCTTGGTAGATGGGCAGAATGTGCTGGTGCATTATCATGATGAGAAAGGATTTTCATCATGATAATGAGATTTATTCTCTGCAATAGCAGTCATCAGTTTCTTTAACAGGTCACAATAATAAGTAGCCTTGATATGTCTTATTCTTTTCCAAGTAGTCAATAAGGATAATTCCCTTGGCATTCCAAAAAATCCCCATAATTTTTCCTGTTGAAGGAACAACTTTTGCCTTCTTTGGAGGCAGTTAAGATGCTTGTTTCCACCTGAAATTAAACAACAGTCTATGTTGTTTAGTTTCAGGGATATGGTAGTGGACTGTCTTGTCTGTTATCACATATCAATGCAAAATTTCCTGTGGATTTCTCTGGTAGATGTCCAAAGACTCCTTGAAAGAATGTCCTTGCATACATTTTTGTTTGGCCATGAGCAAACACATTACCCATCTCACAGAGATCTTAATCATACCTTGTTCTTGGGTTAAGATTTTGTGCACCTGGTTAGCAGAGATGCCTATGACCTCAGAAATCTCTCAAACTTTCAAGTGAGAGTCAACCAGCCCTATATTGTGGATTTAGTCTACATTTTCTGGGGTAACAGTGGTTGTGGGTTATCTGTTGCAACTGTCATCTTTCACATGTTCTCAGCCAAGTTTGAAAAGCATCATCTACTTGCTTACCATCGAATATGACAGGATGGACTCCTTCACAGCTTCATCCAAATTGAGTTTAATCTCAGTGTCATTTAACTCCTTCTTTACCAGATTTATCATAGGGCACATTTCTGTTATCTCTATTTTTTTCTTTGTAATCCACATTCACTGCTTCCATCGTTTTCCACAGCATTTTCTATTTCCTCTTGTATGACAAAATGTTGCATACTTGACAAGTAGTGATGCTGGTTCCTGATCCCTGATGATTTCAAGCAGGTAAAATTCCATCTATATGCAATTCCAAGAACTTTCTAAACCACTTATAGTTTACAGAGATATGCTGTGTTACCAGATAGCAGTGGCAGACTCAAAACCACCCAAAGAGGGGACCAACTCAAAAATTAAAAATATTTGAATAATTATAAGTACCTTTTTATTAAGATGTGCAAGACAGTTGTATTGAAGATGGTCTGATAAGCTATATTTTTCCATCAGAATGTTTTGGAGTTCAAGCAGATAAATTTCATTTTTAGTCATTGATGGGAAGGGCTTAAGTTCATGTAGTTCCTTGATCTGCCCCTACTAGATAATACATGTTTAGAAATAAATGTACAAAAAGTATATTTATGAAATTAATGTTGAAATGTTACAAGTTAACTTGCTTTTTATTTATTTCCTTAATGACAAATTAGCAACAGAACAAGAACATTTATTTGAAGTTAATATCTCACATAAGAGCTTTGAACTATTCATCTGTCTACAGTTGGTTCTTACTATGAATAATGACTAGAAAGAGATCACTTTTAATGAAAATTTTATATCACTATTTTGTCTTGACTTTCATATCTAGCTATTAAAATAAAAGTAAAAATTTAACTTGCATTTATAATATATATAATTGTTTAATGTAATATAATAAATAGTGAAAATTCTAAAATATATTTTCTTAATTCAGGAAATTTTGATAATGTTTTTGTTATATTTATTTGGAAAATAAGAACTTCAAGGCATTTAAGAGATATCTATTTCCAGAATTTTAAATTTTCATTAGTTTAACATTGGATGAATTGCAGATATATTATTTCTAATATTCTTATATATAAGAGAATTTAAATCAGTAGAATCAAATTTATTAATAATGATGATTTTATAAAGTAATGAAAGTTACAGGTAATGTACAGTAAGTGTCAATGTAATCAGTTTATTCAAATGGTTTCCATACCAATTGGAAAAGCACAAGTTGAATGGTTCTTAAGTGTATTTTTAACATATGTATTCATTTCTGGATAAATAGAAACTACTTAGCTTTAATTATGAAGAAATCTGAGAAAATAAAAACTTTTTTCTCTATTTTTCATTATCTAG